TCGCCATCGAATCGATTTAAAATCCCCCATTATTCCACCAATTGAGTAGAAAAATTAAACTTGTTTTAGTTCGTAAAAAATAATTACAAAAAAATAAAGAGTATTTTTAGGAAATAAAAAATTATCTTCTTGTGTAAAAAAATATTTCCTTTGGAGCTGTATCGAAACAGAGTTTAACTATTTCATCGTATCGCCCGATCTCGCTATCCGTAATACTATTGAGCTTTTAGCTTGTAGGGAGTTTCTAGGAGCGCGTGTTCTAAGATAAGGTTAGAGTTCTTGTCGTCGAGCGAGGGTTCTAATCCTTTCAGAGCTACATTCCGCCAATATAATATTCTAATATTTCATTAGTGCCGGTACATTTCACACGGATACGGCCGTCCTTATCGCGGAAACGGCAACAATCCCGTGATTAATGGAAAGGAGAAAAGCTGTCAAAAAAAGTGAGGCGAATTCGCAAAACACGTACCTATACGTGTCTATATGAATGCCTGGTGATTTGTAATCGATTTCCTTGCTATGGTCGATTTTTCCCATAAATATTTCTCCTGTAGGTTTTTAAATTATTAAACCATTGTGGACAAATATAAGAAAACTGTGGTGGTATTGACTTAAAATCTTCGAGCAGATATTTATTCGAGCGCTCCTAACTTTTTACCAATTCGAGTTAAATCGCCGATGCCTTTGCTGATATACACGAAGTTCTTATCCGTATTCAAACAAGCCATAGGCAGGAGCTTTACTCGAGTATCCAAACATCTCATGAATATAGATGGACGAAGGTCTCGTTTGACAAAAATGCTTCCTTTGTCCAATATGACTGAACGGTTGTTAAGGGGATGAGAATTGTACATTTTAGGAAATTTATTCGACTACGATCTACACATGTAAAGCGTTTTTTTGCATGGAAAATGTAACTTTCAGTGATATATGGAATTTTTATGCAGCCTACTTCGGTATATGTATGTTCATTGTGATGAACGCCTAGATATATCTACGGAGTTGATACAGAGTTAATTAATACTTTATACTTTAAAAAAAGTAAATGCAATAGTTACCTATATTATAATTCGGTAGAAACACCAACTTTCCTCGATTTATATTTAATTATATTTTTGCGGGAATTATTTAGGGTTTCTATGTATTTCGAACTTTACTTGCAAAATGAAATTTAATCCTAACTCTACATAATTAAAAGCCTTACCGATTTAGGTACTCAAACAGAGAATGATATTAAAAACTTTTTCTAAATTCGAATCCTCGGAAATCGCGGTAATTACCTCGTTCGATTCGTTTAGGGAAGAAAATTTCGTTTGCAACGTTCCCAAATTAATTAACTTTGCGCCGAATCCGCCTAAGAAAATTTCGAATTTTCTTTCATCGGCGCGTTATTTTAAAATTGTCTTATCGGCGAAATTTCGGCAAAATCAGTCCGTTACCGCAGAGTTGAAAAACTTTACCCTTTTTTTCGGACTGTATGAACACGAAAACGCTTTCAGCCCGTGGAAGTAATCAGGGGGTTGTTAGAATTTGGAAAACAGCACTTAAAAAGTCCAACAACAAAGGGTGAATTACCGAACCCGGTTGGGTTAACCCGTATTTATTTTGCGACGGTATTAATTATTATGATCAATATTTACGAAGGGCCTGTTATTTTTACTTCATTTTTTATGTAAGCACTTAATTTTTATACCTAATTATATCAGTAAATTAAATATTGAAGTTACCTACACAAAATTTGATTCTTTTTTCATAGTATAAATTTGCACATTTTTTGGACGTGTTTATTTAAAAATGCATTATAATGCACATGTTTTTAAATAATTCTACAGCATTATTTTTCCTTTGGGTTGCAAATGAATGTAAATACAGGAATTTATAATCTTCGTGGATTTTAATCTGTTGGATTTATACTTTTATATAAAACTTTATAAAGACATGTATTAAATTTAAAACGGCCACGCGAGTGTCCTGAAGTAAATATTTGCGGGGTTTACGACTGTAATTATACTTTTAAACTCAAGTCGCGAAAGCAAGGAAGTATGGTCATATTTCATTAAAATTTTGTTTAATATCGCTCGTAATTTTTCCGAACCTGTTCCCGGCGACGAATGTATGTGTTGAATTACGAACATGTTGTAATTTTCAACGAGTCGAGAAAGTGGAAAAGTTTTTCTAGTTAATATAGCATGAACTCCGAAAGTTTTATATTAGTTGTGATGCATTGCCGCTTTAATACTGTCTCAAAATTATTAAATTTTATGCTACCGTAAAAGCATTGTTGATAAATTCGCAAACTGTAATCAATAAATTCGTACTTTCGTATATATGAACGTCATTAAGCGAGTCGGCTCGAGAGTACGAATAGCAGTTATTAAATAAACTCTGAGTAAATCGATAGGCATCAAATTGCTCCCGGAAATGCGGGCTTGGATGAAGTATTTTCATTATCGACAAATATTCGTAGAGGATCGCAGTCGATCCTCTCGATTCAAGCATATTCCCGGTTCTAGTAGCCATCGCACATTACGAAACCCGAGTGACTAGTGTAGCCGAAATTTACATAGACAAAGATAAGACGGGAGCTTTAATGTTTTTAATCAGCGATGGTATCGCGAGCAGTATCGTCGAGATTGGCAATTAGCTGTTTGCATACACTTCCTTTGCCCATAACTTTCCAAGTTGCTACATTGACGGGAAAATCGCTTTCCGCGTCCTTTTCAATTTGACGGGGATCTTTCTCGAAAGGGGATTAACGCTTGAACTTCGGGATGAGGCCAGATTCGCGAAAATAATCCGCGCGCTTTATATAGAATTGTTAATTTTTGAATAATTACCTATAGCTACAAGGAGGAATGTTTGATTACACCAACACTTTGTTTGAAGGAACGAGTCCGTATAATTTCAGTGAGATATCAAATAAATTATAAGAAAATACTATGACTTTAATACTGTTCTTTTTAGGGACAAATTTTTGCTGAATATTTTTTTAATAATCCTTTCGTAAGTACATGACCCTTTTAAAGACAAACCGGAAAGTTAATTAAACTCGAGGTAAAAGAATGTTTTGTTAAGGACTCAAAATTTATGTGTTGGGGATTTTTTACCTCTGACATTCAGATTTTTTCAAACCCTTTGAAGCCCTTTTTTCGTTTTGTAATTTATACAATATTCGTAATAAACCTACTATATAGTCATTGTACGCTTATTTAATAGTAAACAAAGCATATGCGTATAACAAGCGACTAAAAAATATCTACCTATTGTTGATGTTAACATGCTTTGTTCAATAAATTAAATAACAACAATAATAATTAAATTTCGAGCCTGTTGCTTTTTCAAGTGGATACTTCCGTTTCAAATAAGAGGAGATTAAATCTCCGCAATTACATCGAGATATTCGCAGAAGAGAAATTTATTAAAAATCTCTTCCGGAAATTTCCTTTATACAGTATTTCCCAAAAAAAAAATTGCATCTGTTTAAATACATAAAATCACAAAAAGAAATATGTTTAAACAGTTTATTCCAGCAGAAAAGATTATAAACTTCCGCATTAAAGCTAAAAGTGCACTAATTAATAAGAAGCTCCAGATGCTTAGCTTTTATAGCTTTTATATAAACAAACATCCTGTCGACGAATCAATCAAATTTATTGGCCGTGCGCCGGGTAAGCTTTTAAGTTTCACCACACATTATTCAATCATACCACTTAAAAGTTAGTTTCATTCAAATTTCAGGTCGCAGATGGTCGGAAACTTGGTCGCCGGAATCGCAAACGGCGCGTCGCGACGCCGCATCGAAGAGGGTCGAAGGGTCGCGAGACGGAAGATTCCGCATGAATAATAGATTTCACGTAATGGGAGACGTTGATTTCGATAAAAATTTCACGTAAAAATGCTAATTGCATATTGATGAAAGTTACGCTAGGTATTTGCTTAGTTGTGGGTTTCATTTTGGATGCATTAGGTGCTCGCTTGATTTCTGTTTTACTTTGATGTTTTAGATGTGAGTTTGGAAGTAAACATCTTAGGAAGGCTCTTTAATTGTATGCATCGTAAATGGAATTGCTAGTGATGGTAAAATTTCATTAGCCGATCTTAATGCAGTAGACAAAATTGGATTTGTGTGGAAATTGCTATTGTTGTACTAAGGGTATTTTTGTTGTCTAATTCCCCCTCTTATACCTTCCTTTTTTCAGTTAATTAATTCTTTTTAATTGTACAAAATCGTCGATTGAAAATTTAAAGGCGCAGCCCTTTTGGTTGAAGCTCCCTAATGAAAACAAATATCCCCTTTGTCTCTTTTGTTGAACACTTCCATCTCGGAACGTAAATATTATTTTTCATGGGTAGCGTTAGCGCGGGTATTTCCATTAATTTTCGTGAGGACGCTCTTTCTTCAAATAGCTTTTTCGATAATTCCACGTCGACAACAAAATTATGTTAGCATTTAGCAATCGTTTAAGGGTCCTCCATTAAATCGATTTCGATAGATAGCTTCAGCTTTGTGAATCGTCCCCAGTCGAAAGCCTTTTATTTCCCTTATAAACTAATAATTTCATAATAATATCGAAGAGAATAGTTTATTATGTATTCCCAAAGCCTACACATTAATTTCGGCAAAATACGTATGGATTTTAATTTCAATTTCCAGCCGAAACTCCTCATAGTTTGACCGGGACCATCATCAATAAATAGACGTTGGAAGTTCCACCAGCGAACAATGTTTCATTGTCAAAACTTTTTTCACTAAACAACCTAAACGAAAATTGAATTACGTTATAAATTACCGACCCAAAAGAATAAAAACTTCTTTGTACGATCGAAACGAAAATGAGATTTGGCAATTCTCCTGCCTCTTATACCTAAATCACGCGTCCGATAAATAAGTAATCGATTATGACGAATGGAAAGGGCACTTCGAATCGGAAGCTTAGTTTTTGTAGAAGGAAACAGGTTAAAATTTCACCAATATTCTTGCGAACAATTTCAATACTCACCTGTAGATGCAAACATGGAAATAAGCGCCACTTTCAGGAGCGTTCCTTCTAAGGGAAACATGTTCTTGTTTTCTTCAGTGAGCTTTTTTTATAGTTTTCACTCGGAACGCAGCTTAGACATGGATCTGGTTAAATTCTTTGTAACTGGAATTAGGCCTGGAAGCATTTTATCTGGAAAGAATTAAAACAATATAACATTGGCTCTGGAAACACTTTAAAAAATCTGAGCTCTTTGTAAACAGTAAAGCTATAAAGGAAATCAAATAAATACACTGCACTAAGAAAACTGCATTGTTCAAAAATTTAATAAAACTTCAAATATTTTTACTTGTAACACTAAAATGAAAAAAACTGAAATGCATTATAAAAATGAAATCATACGATCGCCTTACTTTCACGACCCTACACAACAGGAAAACTTTGTTAATTAATTTTGCATTGTGCAAGTTTCTGTATTAGAAACACCACGATACTCCGGCACTTTTACTCATTATTCATGGCATTAATTTCATACCGTGAAGTATCGGTCTAATTTTTCCGGACCAGCCAACAATTACTCAGAAACGAAAAATCTCGCGTACTGATTCGCCGGAGTTTAATTTGCTGTAAAGTACTTTTAAAATATTTTAGGATTTTTTTAATGTCGGCGAACTAACCGACCCTAAAATTAAATTCTCCGTTCCACGAGGACAAAAATCCCGCCATTCATTTTCTTTTATACCGCTTACATTTACCGTTCTGTGGTGAGGGCTGTATTGTTTTAGGATAACGCCACAAAACCGTAACGATATACTTTTAAATATTTATAGAACTAGGGTAGAAATATACTACTTACGGTCGTTTTGTCGACGCAAAAAGGTAGTAAATGAAAAGAATGTAAATCGTGCAGAACTTTTTTTTCCTTTCCGTTTTGTTTTCTATTATACGTGTCTTTGCACGACAGAAAAATATCCCGGTACAATAATAAACATTAAACCTCCGGATTCGAAAGACATAATATGTTAATCAAAGAGAAACACTTAAAAAAAGTGCTTTTCAAATCAATTCAACCATGTATATTCACTCGAACAAGCCCATCTTTCAGGTCACAGAGCGTTGCGAATAGCTCCCCTCCTTTGATCGATAGAAATTAAAGGGTACCGAAACTTACATAAGTATATTGAATAATTCATCGGCGAAGTTATGAAGCCTAATCGTTCATTGGAGAACACAAACTTACATTCGATACTAATGAAATTCTCCCTAAAGTTCCCGAAAGTCATGAAAGGAATATTAGCTATCGGTCAATTTCCGGAAGGAGTTCGCCAACTACATAATTGTCTCCGATTAATAATTTTGAATAATTAAAATTGAATTTACACGGATTTACGGGAATGCTGGAGAGCGTCGGAGTGTAAAAAAGGCTTTCTGTCAGTGTTAGCGAGGGGCAATTAGACTTTTTGTCGATTTGAAAGGGCTACTGATAAAGCAGACGGGCATAGAGATGATCAAAAAGAAATTAATAACGCTAATGAAGGCATTCATCATCATACGTCTCAGCTTGACAGTTTGTGATGGAAACCTTCTTCGTCCAATTATGAAAATGGGACCGCAAATTCCCAATACCTACCCCATTCTCGATTTTGCATCCCCGTTGTAATTCATGTCGTGCCTTCGTTCCAGTTATTAATTCGTCCTAATCAATTGAATAAGTTTATCAAAGTCTATCGATATAGAAAATTTTTAACGTTGAAATTGAGCACACCCAGTTTTAAATGTAAACGCGACTGTAATAGTAAGTTGAGCTCCGAATTGCAAATACTCCAATTTCAATATTTGCATTTGTCAAAGACGGGGCTCTTGAGGCACCCGATTTATTGATTTCTCTCCTTTAGTTCAACCTGATTACGAAACTAGTTTGATAATTTGAAATTAATGTTCTCCATTGAATTCGAATGCCATACCTTGCCATTTCCACGGATTTATGGAGATTGTTCCCCATAGATTGCTGTTGTTAAAATTAAATCGACTAATGGTCCGTAACTTGTTATCATTTCGATAAACGGCCATTGAAAGTCGAAGAGCCGAGGTTTGGCCTGGCATGACTCAAATTTAATATTCAAGAAAATTGCCTGTATAATGCAAAGCGAACTTTCCGGCTCGAATCGAAAGTACTTTAGAGAGCGTTCTTAATCTCTCGAATTCATTCCAAAGGCAATTATAAGGAAATCTCTCAGTATAGGTTTTATTTCTTAAAAAAGAAAATTTATGGAACCTTTGCAAGTAGAAGAAGTACCTACTTACTTTGAGCTAAAAAGAGTCTAAAAATATATTTAAATGTGTAGCAATAGCTAGTTATTTAATTTAAACATAAATGTGCAAAAAATCTTCCAATATCCATGTATTTGTTGTTTCAATTAAAGTCTGTCTCTGTGATTTATTACGAAATAAACTTCTCAATGGTTTTACCTGCTCTTTGTATTCCCTATAATAAATATCTTGCACCGACGCCTTCCTTTCAAATAGCGATATGGTGAATTAATAAGAAGTTACATTTTCCCCCGGAGTCTAACTCGATTATTATGTAAATTTATACGAAAACGTTGTGTACCTTGTATATTTCAATAACTTAAGCTGCTCTGAAGAACTTAACCTCTTCTAAAGGAGAAAATTCATTAACGAAATCTCTCAACTTTCGAGAGCTTTGCGTTAAGAAATTTTTCTTTATTATTCACGTCTCTTTTATACAAAAGGATTTTAGCATAAAAATCGCTTATTTTCTCTGGGATTTTTTCGCGATTAATTTATTTTTTTTATGGGAAAGTAACTTCGTGATATCGAATACTGCGTTGAAATTTGAATAGTTAATTTTGCGTAATTCTCGTAAATGGTTACCTAATCATTAAATAATTTAGTTCGGACTATATTTTTTTGCTCACAGTATGGAATAGATAAAATAAAATTTAGTGTAATCTTAAAATTAAAATGTAGCTAGGTACTAACAGCGCCTCAAGGGAGAGTTTTCTTTTAATATTGTATGATTATTAAATTAATAAAAATTATACACTGTACAAATTAATAAAAAGTTATAATCCTATTTCAATAATCTTAATCCATTTTTGATGTTTTATATATAAATTAGATATATGGTTATATTTTGTAAAATATTATGAAACAATTCTAAAAAAAATATAAAATATTTTTATAGTAATCTACATAATTATTTTTAAAAAACTCAAACTCTTTTATAAATCAATTTAATTTTGAATTAACATTTTTTTAATAAAATAAAATTGAACCAACCTATAAATGAGTTTAAAAACTCACAATTACTCCATAAATCCGTCACAGAAAAATAACAAACAACATAACACGAGAATCCTCGCACTTTACGTAATTATATTTCTCCGGAAATTCTAAAATACCGGCATAAACCGCCGCCGAAAACTCGCCCGACGAACGCGATTCAACACTGACTCGGGAAAGCCTTATTTTGCGCGGAAACTCGCCCAAACCTGCGCCGCAACTCCCCATTTCGGGAAGCCCTTTTGCCTTTCTTATTTTCCATCCAGATAATGCAGATTTTAAACTGTTTAATTACCACTGCGCCACACTTTTTCCTACCTTGATCAATGAATTAGAATCCGAGTAGTTAAAACTAGCAAATAAAATTGTTTTTGATGGATGGGAATACTTGAAAAGTTTGTTTGTAAAGTGATTAATTAAAAGAAAATTTTTATTTTTCTCCCTTCAACAGAATTAATTGTAGATGAAAAAAATCTTACAAAAATGTACTGTCCTAATGCATTAAGAATTTAATAGATGATGAAATTTGGTACTAAAAATGATTAAAATCGTGCTAATCGCTTTTAAAATAGAATCGATTTCCTTGTAAACACTAAATACTTTGTTATTAAATTATTTTTGATTGCAATCTCCTGCATATCAAACGAAGATATTACGTATCTTATCGCATCGAGATATAAAAATTTGTCTCTAAAGTCGTTCAGACGCGTTTAAACAACAAAAAGTGAAGTGCCTTAATATGTGGTCGGCCTTTTTAGGTAAGAGGCCGGTGAAATTATTCGATATGCTAAAGTATTTCTACTGAAACTCGCTAACAAATTATTTTTCGTTCGATTTAGCCCTGGCGTTTGTTTCAACTATTCATTGCTATACGCTAAGTAAAGATGCTGTACCAGTTTTACCAAGAGAGATACTGTTGTTTAACACTATATACAGGCAGTTTCCTAATGGAGATGTAGTTTCCATAGTTTGCAATGGCAATACAGTATTAAATAAGAAAACATTAACGTGCGAGTTTGTTGAAAGAGTTCCCGATAAACCTTTGTTTTTTATAATACCTACAAACGATTGCAGGTAAGTTATTGTTTGCAAGATTTAGAGTAATGTTTTTTGTACAATTTCCGTTTTAGAAAATTTAAACTGTGCGATAATTTCACTCATTTTTGTACGGAATTAACATGTCCTGGCATTACACTATTTAATAGAGCAACAAAACGATGTGATTACCCAAAGGAAGCAAATTGTTGTGAATTTGATGCCCTAAATTCCAGCAGGATTTTACAAAACTAAAAATACAATTAACGTAAATTTAGATAGTTAATATTACAATTGAAATGAAAATGTAATAAATAATTAATACCTACCCAAGCAATTTTTTTGATTGGTTTCATAAGTGAAAATCCATTAAATGGTTGATTTATTTAGGTAATTCACATTGTAGATCGGTATGATAAATCGTTTGAGAATTAAGATTGCAGATATAATATAAATTAATGAAATAGAATAAAAATGTTTTTGATGATTTCAACTTAAAATACTATATTTTAAATTCCATACACTAATAACTTACAAATAATATATACATAAATAATACAATACAAAGGTAGTGTTTTAAATAAAACATTTACACCTACACAGTGGGCGAATTGAATACGTGACTATTTTAGGAATACCCTCAGGGTATTGGGAAAACCTTCAGTCTCAATCTGTCTTCAGTCTCTTGACGGAGACCATTTCACTTCCCTGTGAATTGGAATCTTCCGAGAAAGTCATGTGAGAAGATGAAAAATCCGTAGGTCCTTGAGAATCGCTCACTGTCGAGAAACCTGCGAGTTCACAACAAAATTAATATACCATTTTATTTTATAAAGTGAATTATTACTATTATAATTCATCAACATACGCTAGGCATATAGCAAATACTAACTAAATTAAAGTAATTAAATTTGGACAATTGATTGAAATGTACAAAATAAATATTTACATGTATTGGAATCATCTGCCAAACTGAAATTAGAATTTGAATTGGACGTATCCAAAACGTTATTCTTCCTCAAATTCTCCTTGTTTTCTCTGTGTTTCATAGATTTCTTGGGTTCGGTGATCGGAACCCATTTGTATATTTTCATTGTCGTATCTCCGATGGTTACCCATTTCTTCTCCCTTAAAAATCAATGAATTAAAATTGTGCCACTGCGCTCCTCCTACCCTATTACAATACTTACCAATGTCGAACTCGATCTATCACATTCATCACCTTTTTGATATCATCTTTGGCCCTGCTCCGGGTCTCGGCTCGAAAAGAACGATGCATTTTTCTCTCTGTTGAATGCTTTCCACAAATTTCACGGATTTTTTTACTCAAAGGAATTATTTGCCAACCATTTTGATGCAAAATCGTTTCCTCACCACCACGAAAAACAAACAGCAAAACACGAATTTGACAGTTACAAACGTCACTAACGTCAAAGTCATGTCGTTTTAGCAGAGCTACCAATATTAAACTTGACCGATTTCATTTGTGTTTTATGAGGAATGTATTCGATATAATTTAATTTAGGGTATGTTTTTTAAATTTTTGTTGTATTTGGAACGTTCATAAGCAGTTTTGTTTTAAATTTCGTTTAAAATTGAATAAAAATGCTACAAATGACAGTTGGCGTGTCAAAATTGTTTGGTACTTAAATGTTGGTAGGACTGATTTTAGTTAGTAATTTGAAAAATTCAATCATGGCTGATTCTGTCGAATTGCGTATGAGTGTAACGTCCATAAAAAGAGTAGATCCATATGTGAAAGATATTTTAGCGAGTGCTACGCACGTTGCTTTATACTGTTTTAATATAGCGACGAACGAGTGGGAAAAAACCGAGACCGAAGGCGCTTTATTCATCTACAGCCGAAATGGGGAACCGTTTCACAGTATTATGATTATGAATAGGTTAAATACTGACAACCTAATAGAACCCATTGTCAAAGATTTCGACTATCAGATGCAAGTACCATTTTTGCTATATAGGAACTCGAAAAGTAAAATATTCGGTATCTGGTTCTTCAACAGAGAAGAGTGCATTAACATCACAGTTTTAATAGAATCGATAATGGAAGGTCTTAAGGACAAAACCGATCGGAAATCTGCGAAAAAGGGCAACAACGTGGATATATTTAGTATGCTATCGAAAGCGCAAGAAGATTACAACAAAACCCCGACGAAGCAAGACATGATGCCATTCGCATCGACCCCTCGAATCGTTCCTGACGTAACATCGAGTGTTATGGACTTTTTCGCTAAAGCTAGTACAAAGACCGGCCCAACGCCGGCCGTGCCCGGAATCCGCGAGGAGAACGTCTTACAAAGGTTGATGTCCAATCCCGCACACTCTGTCGAACACATCGAGAAACAACAGAGATCCATAACGCCCCAGGACCAACCCGTGAACATCCAGCCGAAGGTGGTAGCTAGCGGGGATAGAAGAAGCGCGCCTATAAATTTTCCCAGTTCTAGTATAGTCGATAAGAAAGCCGGTGAAAATGGTTTAAGGGATAGTAGTTGTCCCAAACCGCAGTCTTCGCCTCTAGCGTATTTACTGCAACAAAACCAGCCACCTCAGCTGGACAAGGAGGAGGCTCAGGATATGTTAAGTTTTTCTCCTTTCGGACAGGTAATTGTCTCGATATTTTATTACGTTTAAATTAAGGTAATATTCTTGTTACAGTCTGCGGAATCGAATAAGCCGCAGTTGATGACACCGATGATGTTTGTAACGGGTAAAACCCCCGAGGACTTTGAGAGTTCGACGGCCGAACAGGAACATATTGATCTGTTAACGGAGAAACAACTAGCCCAGGCGCTGATTTACCTCCTTAAGAACAATTCGGATTTTACTAAACAAATTCATGAAGCTTATGTAAAGTCTATAATGGAAAAAGTAAACCTCAACAATAGTAGGTCATTTATATAATTGTCTGTTAAAATCTTCTTGGACAATTTTGAGCATTATCACATATTGCTACTATTCTGACTGAGTTAGCTTTAACGTTAATATAGACTCAAAATAATACAGTGATTTTTACCGATTCGATTCCATGAAGTTGTTGACTTATTTTGACTATACTGTAAGATATTTATGTAGTAAAACCTGTTTTCGAATATAACTGACATAAATGTGTTTTAGTTAGCTTTTTTTCATTATAAACAATATGACTAAAGCTTTTATATGCTAATATTCAAGCTCTATTTTTTGATCATTTTATTAAGGAGGAATTAAACGTGTTAGTAAATCTAGTATCAATTAAAATATTGTTTATTTCTTATAAATTACTTTACAAAAATACGTTTTAGACAATAAACGACAGTTATATAAATAAGCAAAAAATAAACACATACATTATTTTTACGAAATAATATAATGTTGAAATCAGACAGTAATTAAACACTAAAAAACTATACATATTTACAAAAACTAATGTAATCATTTACGCTTGTCTATTGACGTAATTATTGTCGCCTGTTTCTATGAAAATTATCACATTTTCATTCATGTTACAAAAAACTAACCCCTGGTAAATTCCTTCACATAACTCACATAAAATACAAATTTGGTAATTCAATATCGTAATCAGAAGCGCTTAAATTTAACAAACGGATAAGTGCAAATTTGTACATAATATGGTCTCTGAGTGCAACAAAGACTCCTTCCATTAGTCTTATATAAAGGAAAAGGAAAGTGTTATTAGGCCGAATTTATAAAAAGAAGCACAACTTTTTGCTTCAATCTATGAAGGAATTGCTTCACGAATAAAAAGAAGAGAAGGAAGAGAGGTTTTGCTTTGATGACCCTGCTGTTGCTTTAAAGCGAAAGGTTTTATGGTTTTAAAATCTTTGTGATAAGGTTTTAGAACCCTTTTCTCTTATTTTTTGCCTCTACCTTTTACTTCAAAGTAAATGCTTCATTTTTATAAATATGGTCTAATGTGTGATTGCAATTTTCTCACTCTAACCACTGTTGTTTTAGTAATCATTCTTTGTTCAACTCATAGAATTGCAAACAAATTTGCACTTACCCATATGATGGGCTTTACAATGTAAAATGTGATCAAATATGAAAAAAATGGATTTATATTCACAGCCTAGAATTCAATGGAAGATGTGTGTCTATTCCAAATTTCTAGTATACAATGTAAAACAGTCATATAAAAAAATAAGTAAGACTCAAATCATTAACTTCTAAAACATAATCCATTAAATCTGTCGCATTTTCCTTCTGGTATTAGTAATCTTAATAAGTACAATTTAATTTGAATATCAGTCTATACATCGAAAACCTACCCAACTAAGATAAAAAACTCTTATCGGCGCAGTATTTATTTATACATTTGCTGTTGCAAGACACGTTCGACGGGGAGCAGGGCGGCTTCTCTTTCTCTATCTCCATAATAATACTCTTTCCCGACACTTCGCAATTAACTAAATTATATCTGGCTTGAATCGAGTTCTTCTCTTCCCCGCTGGTGCTGCTCTCGCACTGTATCAAAGGCTCGTGCAACTGCAACCGGAAATCCTCCGCATTGCTGCAATAGTAATTGTTATGCGGCGATATCACGTAATCTTTTTGAAGCAAACTGTCGTAGGTTTGGTGGAAATTATCCTGGTTTTGCCGCCCTTTCGGGTACTTGTGATGCGCTATCGGTTGGATGTACAAAGGCGGCCTGAAAACGATAAAAGAAATTGTTAAATGAATTTTAACGAGCGTCGATTAGTTATTTACCCCAGTTTATCCAATGCGGAGTTCTGGTGTTCAGTCTTCAATATTTTAATAGCTAGAGCTATGAGTACGAATAAAATAACAGCGCCGCATATGGGCACTGCTATTGTTGCTGCTCTGAACCAAACTTCCGAATCCGAATAGAGGAAGGTTTCCTGCTTCTGTTCGTATTTGTTATCTACTTCTTCCACATATTCATCTGTAACATTAATAATTGAAATCATGTTTAAACAGTAATTGTATTATGCTCTACCTAATGCTGTGCTATTGATTAGATTTTTTGTTTGGGGACTTTCGATATGGTTGCACAAATCATGGTGGCAACACATCAGATGGGATCTCGCATTTTCCTTTCTTCTGAACGTTGTTCTCTCGTGCGGTGCCGCCTTACCGTGGCATTTATACTTCTCTTTTCTGAAACATTTAATTAATTTAGTTATAAAACATAGATACAACGTACTGGTTTTATTTTTTTGTGACCCCTCCACATTGTATTCTTTGGTAACGATGTTATTAAAACAATATCCTTCGATTTAATAAGCAATAAACACCCTACAAATATGTACATTTAATCACGATGCCTGTCGATGACCCCGTACAATTAACATAATTAATTCAATGTCCAGTTAATGAATCGAAGGAACGCAGTCCGAGCGATAACAGTGCCAGTTCGACCCAGTTTTCAATTGATTCGTCGATTTGTTTTCATATCTTAAACAATTACCCAGATAGCACAAAGATGTCTTAAAGATGTCTTAACGATGTCGAGATAAGACATTTGAGACGTCTTACAGATGTCTTGTAAACGCCGCAAGACATCTATAAGACATCTTCAAGACATCTTTTTTTATCGATTTGTGAACAATCAAGACGTCTTTAAAGGCATAAATAATGTCTTTTAAAAGACATGAAAAAGACTTAAAATGGGGGTTGCTTTCAAGCGAAACATTAGGTTTTGCAGTAGTTATTTATTTTTTATAAAAATATACTCCTATAAAACAATATTCCTCATTATTTATTTGCAAATTTTTTTTGCATCGAAGAACGCCTATCGGATGCCCTTCGTAGCCATGTTGCTACAGCGACTTCGACCTCGGATTGGCTCTGCGTGACCGATACCTTTAGAGCAGCCTCTAAAAATAAGATATATTGGTGAAAATTAATTAACATAGAATATTCTGATTGTTAGTCAGGGTTTTAATTTGGAATAAGTAAATCAAAGTAGAAACATGGTTTCACATTAATTAAAAAAAATCTGTGTTACTAACCAATAAGAAGTTTCAACATGTTTGTTTTGTCAAACGCTTTTTTGCCCTTTCTTCCCAAAAAGCTAAATTGCAGCGCAATATCATTAGTCATCAAAGTGACCATGCTTCTTTTAATAAAATTATATGTATTGCAACCACCCAACTTAGCTATTTCTTTCACCTACATAATAATTAACTACATTAAAAAAAGTAAATTACAACATTTTTTTGATCCACTTACTGCAAGTTCAAAATCTACTCCATTAAGAATATCTTCAAATTTTTGAAAATCTTCAAAATTATTGATAGGAAAGCTTAAATCCGGGAATCTATTAAAAAAATATTCAGTCGGTTCATTTTGGAGTTCATTTTTTTGAAGTACATCTGTCCTTAATTTCCTTACTTCTTGAAGAGTTTCTGTTACGAGACTCCTTAATACATGGTTTTGTTCAATAAGCACTTTTAAATTTTTATCTGAAATAGAAAAAATATACATTGTTTAATTACATCAAATTACAATTTTTTAAATAACTTTACCTTTTTCCTTACAACTAATACAAATAGTTTTTATTGCTGTTGTCGCGGATGGAGTCTCAATATTATTTACTTTTGGACCTAAAAACAATTCATTAGGAAATTGGAAGAAATATCAATTTTGTATGTTTTTAATAAAACTATCTCGGAAAATACTAACTTGTCTGAGTGCAATTTGCCTCTTCTGCGCTCTTTCTCTTAGAGCTTTCTTCATTTGCGTTTTCTTTCTCTGCATCCTGCTTTTGCCCTAAAATATTAAGAATGTGGTTCTGATTTTCTAATTTTCAATAAAAATTACATAAAAAATGTTTATATTGGAAAATGCAAGGAAAATTGCATACCTTTTCTTAAATTTCCAATTGAAAGTTTCTTTATTTTTGGAGGCATTGGGAGAGAAAATTCACCACTGCTATTAACATCTATGTCGCTTTCACTAGATGAAAGTATCCGTTGAATAATTTTCCTTTTGCCTTTTCCGAAGCCTTTTCTGTCATCATTCGCATCGCTGGTCAGGTCACTAGTTTCCTCCGCAACTTTTGCCTTTTCACGGGCTTTACCATATTCATCTGAAAGAATAAATAGAAAAATTAATATTCCAATCGGAAATTATAGTTTTTGCAAAGGTCGGGTTTGCGGTTAATTTTTCTTATTACAAAAATGTCCAATGTTAAACTTACCAAATGTCCCATTTCTAAAAATTTTTACTTGATGAGTTGGCCAATGTGTATTTAGTGGTTCACTCTTTCTAATTGCATTGTAGAGCTTGGGTTTTGAAAAAGATGGCCAATGGCATAAATCTCCTTGTACCCATGAGGAAGGTACAGCCTCCACTGAGGAATCATCAAGGAATTGAACAATTGTCCATGACTTTTCGTCCATATCTAGGCTTATTCGATTCTACAAAATTATTATGTGAAAAAAAAATCAAATCCCAAATGATATTTGCAGCTAATTATGTATCTAATATTGTAGCGATTATGTAGGGGCAACTTACATCAAAAAAATTTTTGCGATCGATTTGAACATCTCCGGAAAATTTTCTCTAACATTTTTTTGTGTAATTCAAACGATTCGTATGATGTAGATGATAGGTCTTGAGGTCTTCTTTGCAACGGTATATTTAAATTAACAATAAGTTGATTTGATACGAAGTTATAGCCAAAAAAGCTATGGGGTGGCAACTTACAAAGAACTCCTCTAATATTAAAATGATGTATGTAGTAAAGGAATCAAAATACTATCTGATTTTTGCCCCCATTCTAATTTAACAAATTTATAGGAAATATTGTCAATATCGAATAAAGACAATGCTCCCAAGCTTTCAGTATTTGACTGATATATATTTAAAACAGATGATTCTATAGGAATGGTATAAAAATTATCTAAATGAAGATATTTGCGACCAACAAGCTTAAATTTGTTATCATTTAATTTTAAAATATTATAAATTTTCACAATGCTACCATCGCTAAGTCCACAATAATTATTGGGGCTATCTATTTTTAAAGTAAAATTTTTAAATAAGATAGTCTTGAATTGCTTTTTGACAACTAAATTTTCTAGTAAATAACCATCAGAATGCTCATCTCTGAAGGTGGGATAATTTACTTTTTTCAAATCTTGTTCTTTTTTAATATCAACAATAATTCTTTCTGCGTGTCTTTTTATAATTTGTTGAAGTGGTTTATCATGTTTTCTTATTGATTTTAGAATATGCTGCAGGTAGTTCTCAAATTTAAAAGCACTAAAGAGATCAAGAGGGCCATGATGTTTTACATCCTCAGATAAATGTAAGAGATTGTGTACATTATGTGACATATGTTCAGGCCCATATAATGTTTTAAAAGTTCTAACAAAATATTCTAATAACTCTGATGCATAATTAATATGTGTAAAATACTGTGGACTAGACAAAATAACTATAGACACATGTAAAGAGAGAAAATTTAAGTACCGATCTTTATTTAAAACTCCTTTAAGGACTATTGGCCCTGTGTACAGTAAAAATTGACGAAACTCAGTGGCTTTCCATCTCTTGACTTCACTTAAAGGTCTCGGTTTTCTACTAAATTCAGTTGGAATACAATTTGACAAATTAGTCAATGAAGTGGATATCGATAATACATCACGAAATGAAATTTTGGTGTTTGGCTTTCCAAAACACCAAAGAAGAAGTAATTTTTTTACCACACCTAAACACACTAAGTGCATGTAATCCAAAGGAACATTTATGATCATATCAAAATTTGGTATGTTTTCCAGTGCAGACACACCTGTATGATGTTCTTCCTGGACTTTTAAGCGAAAGTCACTATCAGTTCTTAACTGTAAATTTTGAAAGGTGGGAAAACAAATTCTATTGTTAATGTAACTACCCTCTATGAAACACTTTGTGCAAGAGAAATAACCTGCATGACCTTTTACATATTTAACAAAGGATTTTGCAGGAGCATCACATATTAGGGACTTAATTTTCACTTTATATAAATGGTTCTCAAAAACAATACCATTATTTATAACACCAATCGAATCGGTGACAAAATCATGCAAAAATAAATTGGCATCCTTTGGCTTTTCATATCCATGGTATATGCCTATCATATCAACAATGTTGATGCCAGATATAGAGCAGAGTATAGGATATACTTGACTTGTTGAACTTTTTGATAAGGGTAGCCCATCAATATTTATGTTTAAGTAAATTATATTGTCAGTAAATGTTAATTTACCAGAACTTTTTATTAAATTTTCAATAGATTTTTGAATACCAAAATGATAATAAGAACCAGGCTCAACACTTTTTAATGAAATTTCATTTGGGGTCCTTAAAAGAGTTCTTGCATCTAATGGTAAGTCCTTTGGAACAGGATTTTTTAGTAATACGAGCAAATCACTTAGAGCATTATGAGGAATATTATATTGAATAGCCCAACTTCTCAACCCATCCTTGAAATCCATATTATTTTCCCTACTTTCCAAATCTATTAATAAATTATTGGTTCCCAAAATGATGCCGTTTGTGTCGAGATTTGTGTTGAGAAAAGGTATGTTTGTTTCGTCATAGCTTCTCTCGGGCTCACAGCTTCCATTTTCTGATATATTTAAGGATAAGGAAAGCGAAGCTGGAGATAACGAGGAATGATCCAGATAATTGTTAAATTCCTGATTGTTTTCAGGGTTTTCATGATTGTTCGAGTGATTATTGCTAGATGATGGCTTGGAAATTTTGTTAGGAATTAAGTTAAAGTCTGAAGATGAAACACTAGATTCATTAGTGACGATCATCTCACTATCATTATCAGGGTGATGAGCTCTTTTGGCTCGCATGTACAATTTTCTAAGTTCTTTATTCATAATTATAATAAGTACCTGATTGTTTAATTGTGTTTCAAATTTCTACTCTTCCTGCTGAGTTGTCGACTTGTTTGTACCTACTGCTTATTGTTCACACCAAACCACCACAAGACCCAAGCGCAAACTTTAATAAGACCCAAGGTTGAATAGTAATTAGGTATTAGGTTGTATAGTCTCGCTGGATAGACCTAGAAAAATTCACAACACATTACATCACTAAATTTCTATGCATAGGAGTACATACTATAAGAATACGTACCTATTTTTACTTATTAATAATGAACTTTTTAAAATTTGTATCAAACTTGCTACATACATCAACGATGCTACACCACAAACACAAAACCGCGCGGTTCACTTTAACCTAACCTCAATCTTTTTCTTCTTCTTCTTATTTTAACGGCCTCTACCTTGACAGTACTTGGCCAAAGCAACGATGAAATTAAGCAAGTTTCGATTCTCACTAACTCATTTTTTTTTATTTTTTGTTGATACGTAAGTATCAGAGTAAATATTTTAATTATAAAATTTAATTAAAAATAAAATATTAATTAATAGCAATTTTTATTCTTAGAAATTTCTCCGTGCACATTTAATAAAAATTAAATTAAAATGCACATGAGAATGGGTTTTTTGGGAATACATTTTTTATGAACAACCTCCAAAAATATAACTTTGTCTTTTTTGAAATTGGGATAAAACGTACAAGTCACGACGTTTTAAAGACGTCTGTTTATGTCTTGTTCGACCGTCCGTTAAAATGTCTTAGTTAAGATGTCTTAAAGACGTCTTCTATATGTCTTCAGACGTTCAGACATAAAAACGACTTAAAACAGACATCTTAAAGACGTCTAGTGCTATCTGGGTAACGAGCTCTCAAAGGTTTTTATTATTGAGAAAATTTCGAATTCGAAACTTCAATGTCTTTGCTAATACTGTTGGAGTATTCGACACGATCGATTGCAAATTAAAATTGCACATTTGCGATTGCTTTGCATAATTGTTTGTTTCATAGTTTATTTATAACTGGTGGTAATGAAGGCAGGAAACCTCGCTTTTCAGGGTCAACATAAAAACTTACTTAAGCAGTTCAGCGACAATCGCGGCGCCAAAATTATTTGTTAAAAGAATAACGGCGCCTCTAACTATATAATTGCCATTCTGATACGCGATACCGAGCGCACAATCTGTAATAAATTCAACCACGAAAAATGCGTAGGTATGAAACGTAACTAAATTGAAACGATCCTACTGCAATTTCGAACTAGTAAGTACTCATAATTAATGCGAGATAGAGTTGTTAAATATTATAGACTTATATAGCCTCCTTTTCCGGCATTACAAATGCTGTACCAGTACTATTTCTATATTTAGTCGTATAACTGCGAACGATTATTATTCTCTCCAGTAACTAAATGGTAATGAGCGTTGCTTCATTGCAATTTATATTTTCATTTATGTTAAAACACGCCATCAATTAGAATCAAACCAGTAAAGGTTCTTTTTTCGTTAACAAATTGTATAACGAAGCTGTTAGCAATTACAGAAAAACCCAACCAGTTTTAACGGGAATGTTATTTTTATTCGAAACTAGATCGAATCTGTGCTTATCTCTTATAATCGCGTTGATGCAGTACAATTATTATTCTAATGCGAATTGGAATTTATCTTCGCAAATTAGGTCTAGGAGAATACATTTTTGTAATCAATAAGTAAACTATTACAGTGCTGCTAATTTTCCTAATTGAATCGTTTAAAGTGCATGGGTCTTTTATTTTTTGAGGCTCGTTCCGATTTAAAGATTTATGAGCGGAATGCTGATTTTCGATCGTCGAAAAGTAGTTTCGTAGAAGAAGACGTTTCTGGCCACCCATAAAGCTATTGCTATGCAAAAAATTAACTGCCGTCTAATTAACTATCTTATGTAGGTACTTAATGGCTGCCTCTCTGATTGGAATACTTACTTTAAGTTACGTATGTAATTTTTTAATCGGAGGTAATAGTGCAGTTAAATGGAAAAAAAATAGGAAGAAATCTTAGTGGAATACGAGGAATGTCTTGATTGGTGTTTTTAATTAAAAAAAATGTCGTTATTTTGGGATAAAGTGGTGCTGTGTTACAACCACAATTAGTAGGTCTCTTTACGAGCACGGCTTATAAGCAAAATACTTTTTGTAATTATAACGGTACATACTGAGGTAACGCTGTTATTTTAATGTTGAGCTTGCATCTTACATTTAAGATTTAACGACTGTATAATCACGTTTCTCACGCTGAAATTTAAAAAATTCGCTTCAAAAGGTGCGAGAGTTATCGTAGAGCCTAGTTTAATAATTAATTTACGACTGAAATGTTTACTGTAAATTATGCGAAACGAATTATAGTTTTATTTGCAGCTAATCCTTAACAATGCGAGAGTGCGCTTTGTTTTATTCATTTTAGTGGTATTGGGAATATATTTTGGTGTAAAATTTAATAAAGAAGTTATTTGAATACTTACAATAATTCCAAACATCCATGCTGGCTATTATCGTTATTGGTTTGATTGATTTTAGAGAAGCAACCGCCACCGCTCGATTTGCACATGTACCCCGTCATTATGCAGTTTGGTAAATTGCAGAAACATCGTACGTATTCTGTAAAAAAAAGCATAGTAATATTTTTTAAGTACTCCACAATCTCTACATATGCATCTCCAAATGTCTGGAAACAGTTTAACGGTTAAAAAATTATTATTTCAAACAAGGCGAGCTCCTACTTTAAATATTTACAAACTGAAATAAAATTCCGCCGATACCGGATAGAGAGATTGGCTTTAATTCGGCGGTCTAAAAATAGTCGTTAATGTGTCCAAACAGGCGCCCGCGACTATTTAAAAAGTACCCCCCGTCTGGTCTAGAGCTCATTAAAAACGGTCTATTTGAATTTCTTGCACGAACTTCATCTAAATCATTGACTGTGACTGATATTTAAAATTTAAAACTAGCCATTTCGGAGCTAAAATTTTACTCGAAATCGTCGCATTTCTAATTATTATTGCAATATAAACCGTACTGGTTGCGACCGATGGAATATCCTCGGAATCAAACAACACAAAACACGGTTATTTTCCCTTCCATATAGATATCCCCTGAAAGCACAATTACTCAAGATAGCTTCGGTGTCGTCAAAGCGAAGGGGATAAGATTGGCGCCGTGCCCGTCTGGCTTTCAAGTACTTCTTCGTGTTGTTAAGTGACTCTTATCTCGAATTTTATGGCGCATCCTGTGTGACTGACTCACTTTATAATAATAATTACTTTCCTGTGAATCTACAGCTTTTAGGAATTTTTTTCGCTTTCTATTCGGAGATAATTCCTGGAAGCTCCGAGAGCTGAAGAACATCCACCTATTCCACATCGTATTTTTTGTTATCTGCTTTTAGTATCTTCCGGTACGCATTAATTTTATGAATGTAATGAAAAACAAACGCAGCAGTACTTCCTCGTTTTGTGCAAAAGGTAATATTTCTGATAATAATCAGCAGCATTCTCGATATTTACGTGCCTGCACGGGAAAATATAGCAATTACAGTTAATAATTCGATGTAAAATCTCGTTCTGAAACGGGATGAACCGGATTCCAACATTAAATTAGTCATAACATAACCGGAGTAGCTGAAGACTGCGGATTCCGAACGGTATTCGCTCATTATTTATTATAACGATCCGATAATTTACTGAATCAATGTTTAATAAAAAAAGTGGCAGGAATGCGGTATTCTGGTAATAATTAACTTTATTAGCGCTGATAAGATTGTTAATTGAAATGTATGAATGGAAGATAATTAATCGAATAATAATCTAGTCTAAGTAGGTGCAGAAAAATTGTATCACTACTAGATGAAATAAAAAAATACTTATTATAAATTAAGTCTATAAGGACAGCAACATTTTTCTCTATAGGTATTTAGTATTATACGGTTGACCCGAATCTCCAAACATTCCGTTAATAATTATAAATTATTCGTATTTAATGTTGAATCGTTAATTGTGTTATTGGCATGCGTGAGGCCTGAAATGCTGTTTATTCTAAATCTGTTTTGGATGGCCAGCGCACAATGGGAAATTCCTATTATCATCATGTCAGCGAAGTTATTTCAGGGGCTTGCCGCGATCGGCACTCGACAATTGGACACGGCACGGTTTAATTTATTTCCCCGCGAGAATCCTTCCTTTTCTCCCTACTTTCGTTTTAATTCGGGCGAACGCTGGGATTGAAATTCGCAGGAATATTTGGTATTGCATGTTCGTCGGTAAAATTATCGGAATTGAAAAAATCACGAGTTATGTCCAGTTGATCGGCCGTCGAGCGGTGCAGAAGAAGCGCGTTCCGGAGATTTTATTGCCGGGAACAATTTATCGACCATTATTCTTCGAAAGTTTCGACTTTTTTTAGGCCTTAATGCCATTGTGTTCGGCCATTCGACTTAATCTATCAATTGTTTACGACGAATAAAACGAAAAGTCGGGATGAGTTTATAAATTGTCATTTTAAAGAGAACTGTTAAGTATCGATGCAAAATCCGGATTTTTTGATGCGCTCGGCGGGTCCCGTTTTTTCCGGAATTTCGATAATAGCCCGACTTTTTACAGAAAAGTACCACACAGCCCGAAGGACGACATACTTTCCTCGATGAGTAGGTACGGAATCCGTTGCGGTACCATACCCTGTAATTTTGCGGCTGAAAGGTTCTCAGTCGTTAGTCGTTTGTTCTTGTTATATGCTATTATTTACCTGCTCTTGAGGAACGGATGCGCTACGACTAGTTACTGCTCCAATGGCGGAGAGTCGAATGCTAACAGCCTAAAAATACTCCCAATTTTACCAAATCTCACAGAAAAATTAGTCGCCCTTCAATCCATGTTTTAGGTACACTATTAACTAGTCAATCTTCATTTACTCTTTGGCAAGTCATTTTCCTTTTAACCGTAATTTTCAATTTCTATCGAAAAATAACAGAATAATTTTCATTTACTTCTATTCACATTGACCACTGCGCATTTAGTTTAACAGTTTCATCAGCACTAGAACTGTACTTCATACTTTTAAATTTTCTTCATAATCTTCTCTTAACCCAAAATATCCCAACGAATTAAAGGGATGTTCAAAATGGACGTTCGCACGCCCATGACAATGACTCGACTCGTTAAGTGCAATTAGAGCAAAGAAGAACTCCGATATATAATTACTTAATAACTATGTACGGCACTGCCCGTGGTATTCCATTACTTTTTTTCGGAATCTTATTATTAGAAATTTCCTTCCAAAGTTAAATATAACCGACCTTTTCATAATCACAGTCACAGTCGCAGGAAGGTACGTAATTTTTGAAATTGTAGATTTCTTTGTTTCTAAATTTAACTATTTTACGGTGTGTTTTGAGAACTGTACGAATTATACGTCTCCTGTTGAAATTTGAGCCTCTAAAGTAGCTATTTTTTGGATAAAAAGTGCTACTTGACGCATCACAGTTTCGTGTAAATATCATGTTTTCCGTACTATTTAGTATCGATTACGAAAAAATCCAGTAATTATCGATAATTACTGAGGAATTTATAGGGACGTAGAGCGAAATTATTTCGATAAAAAATCGTTAAGCAATGAAACATCGCTATTTACTGGTAGATAGTTATCGTCAGTTTACCAACACAACCTGTTTTAACGCAGCGCCCGGTTGGCATTTTTATCGATATGTCGAAATCGATTACATAAATATACTTAATTAAAATCCTTCAAAGATACTGTAAACATTCGGCGTTATTATTAATTAAAAACGAAATGTGTATACTTTGTAATTTATTTAACTTTTGTTCAAAAGGAATTACTAATTATGTAAATGATAATTAGATTGAAATGGCATTTAAATTGCTAGCTAGTTCTTATTCGAATGGCGAAAAGGCCGCGATTAAAATAAAATGCAACAACGACGAGAAGACAAAGAGAAATCGTTTTCAACTTTTAGCTATTTCGAATTTGCCTATTCAATTATTTAAATGGCAAATAATTCCACCGACCAAAAATTGCCGAGCAAATTGCTTGGTTATGTTAAATACTCGAGCGGAGAATAAGCTTTTGAAGCCGTTTTCTTTTACGACTTTACTAAACATTACGTACGGCCTTTCCAATTAGTTTTTCAATTAAAATTTCGTACTATCTCCGTCGCCATTAGCTCGGGTCGATAATTTTTTCCTTGTTTATTTATTCTTTATCTGCTGCCTCTTCAAAAGCTCATCCATTATAGGTATACCTGGCCGCATCTGACCGTATCGTAGAGTGCTTTACCTTGTAGAAGAGATAGCGACGTTTTTGTCTTATCCGCCCCGCAGCGTTCACCATCATTCTTTTACCAGGACCGGACTTGATATCAGAAACTTGCTCCCTTAAAATGTAAATTACAAATTGATCCATTTCGCCTTTTTTATTGCTATTTTACCATTTAAATTATTAAGATTTATGTATACTTAGGCGTCCAAAAGTGTACCTACTGCTCAATTTCACAAGTGCCTATACACTTGTTGTGTAGTTTTTTATAAACCTTTTGTAATTGTTGAAAGTATTTTATGTTTAATTCGACAATAAAAAAGACCAACTTTTCGACATAAACTAGATTTACATAATAATCGACGATAATGGAACTAAAACTCATATTTTTCCAACGATCCTAAATCACAATTACCTATTGTTCGAGTATAATTTATGCATTGTATGCATGAACTCTTTTAATTTGACAAGTACCCAATTATACATTTCCGATCACCTTAAACCCCCTCTGTATCGGTTTACTTTATCTATAGACGATGTCGGCGAAATCGGGTTTTGCACTTATATAGAGCTCATTCCGGTTAATTGTTTTTTCTTTTTTGTGTGTATGCGTTTTTTTTTTCTCTTTGATCTCCAGTTGATGAGGTACACGATAGTGGGATATTTCGAATACTGAATGTCGAACGGGTGCTCTCGCTGAAAGTACGGACGAGAAGTTCGCGAACTCGCTGGTTATTTATTGCCGCAAATTATGAAAATAAAAAGTGTCGACTTTATGCCTTCATTGTACTTGGCTTCTAAAACTAAATAGTGGGCGCAGAAGGTGGACTTAATACGTTGATCTTTGCGCTGCACAATTATTGACTGTTGAGTAATGTTTAATTTGGAAAACAAATATTAGAATAACTACTGTTTTCCAACGTTATCGCGAACTCGATTTGGTTATTGCTATCGTGCGGTACCTTTGTGGAATGTAATAATGCATTCCTGATTAGAATGGAGCGATTAAATTAAACATTTAAATTTCTTCTATGTATTTGCCTAATTACTACTCCAAGGGGAAACTCGTGTATAAACCTGTTGAATCGTCTTCGGTGAACAGGTAGAGATTTCCGAACGTCCATTTATCATCCTTATCGTTGGTTTTAGTTATCTCAAAACTGCGAATTATCGAAATGGTATTTCTTAAAATTGGAAAGGTCGGGTCCGGGACAATGAATTCCCTTTCGTCTCGACAGCGACGCGACATCGACTTCCTGGAAATATTTTTTTAACCGAAAATTCTTAATATTGTTAACACTAAGTGCGTACTTATTTATTCTAATGAATTTTTAAAACGTATCGGCGCGAATTTTTTGTACTCTGCACTATAATTTATCGCCAAGCTGAAAGTATTATTTAAATATTTACAATTTTTCAGCTTATCATACTTGAATCATAATTACTTTTATAAAATACACATTCGTTCCAATTAGCACGAGTTTTGATTACGATTGACTCGATTGATTAGTTTTATTTACCATTCAATGTAATTTATTTCTGTTTGGAAGTGAATCATTGAATTTGATAAAATTAGTGCCCATGTGCATTTTCTAACGCCACTTTACCACATGTTATCTACGCATTAACTTTGCAATCAGCAGGCAAAAAAAAGGAATTTATCGAGTCCATTCTGAGGAACAATGCTTCAGAATTTCTCGGAGATAGATATAATGGAGTAATTTAGATGTCGGATATCGTTTTGAACAATATGATATGAAATTTTTTTATTCAAATTACGCCTGTAGACATGTCCAGAAAACCGAGAAGGTACACAAATTACGGCGTGTTTATGCGTGTCTGGTCGCCTAGCGAGGGATTGTCACATGGGGGAGACGAGCCTACGGCGCGCACAACAAACACAGACTGTTCTGGTTGGCGCCGTAGGGCCATTAAGTGCAATTAGAGCGGTGGGTCTGATGTGCAATTATCCCTCAAAAACACATGCAAACCGATCCACCAGACCGTGGAGGCCTATATTTAAAATAAATAGATAACAAAAGAAGTGCGTATTGGTAAAACAAATTTTGTACCGCGACTCCAAAAAAATACGCACTTTCTAATTAACAGATGTAATGGTGTTTGTTGTGCATTGGTAATACTACAGTTGGATGAGTACCTATTAGAAGCGCTTTTGGGGAAGTTTAATAGGAGATCTGTTAAGCTGGTTTAGGTTTTTAAAACCATACTGAATGATACTAAAGTTTGTATATTTTACAAAATTTATTATCTCACTAAGTGCATCAGAAATTCAATATCTCAACCATTACGAAAGCAAAAAAAATCTCATAAAATGTAGAGGCAGGGGGCAAAGAGGCAAATATTTACATAGTTCTATAAATATACTTAACATCTAACGACTCGACGTCTTTTTAATATTTCCATTCAATTAAGTGGCGGAATAATAATCTAAATATTTATTTCTACCAGTGATTAACTACCAATTAGTATCTAAGTAGTTAGTTAGATACGTGCGAGACACGAGCGGTAAAAATAAAAGTAAATCCAACATTAATTTTACCTGTAGAATAATGCCAAGGCTTGGAGAATTTCACAATTGGCTTATTGATGGTAACCGTTTCCTCGCTGGCCGAAACAATCGCGGTCAACAGCGACAAACAACAGTAATAGAAGTAATAAAGGCAAATCGCGAGAGTCATTTCGAGACTCGGGATCGATCAAATCGATCGACGGCGCTAAAAAGCAACGAACTCTCCTTCGACGTGCGACGCGTTTATTTTTAATCTCGGCCAGGCGCCGGGGAAATTTCAAACGCGGCTTTCAATTATCGGGGAACCGTCGTCGTCGAACTCAAATGTTGTCATCGTGTTCGAACTGGCAATGCGTTTCGCGTATTTTCAACAATGCGACCGACTTCGACACGCACCGGCTCCGAACGCGCTCTCTAACAGACTGGCGCTAGCAGCCTAGCTGGTGTTCTGTTCTGCAGTTCACGTTGTTGGAATCCGCCGAGCCGAGAGAGCTAAAGACAAGACAAGGCGGACCTCAGGCTGATTAGAGAAACCCCACTTGAGCCCAGCCGATATTCTCTGAGAGTCCGCTCGGCGTATTGCGTGCACTCGTGCAGTCTCTGGATTGCTTCATCCTTTTGTAAAACTGTCCACGCACGTTTATAGATGTTACATATAAAATAATACATGTTGTAAAAAATAATACATATTGGATTGGTGAAATGTAGAAAATATTAGACAAAATTTGTTTTGAAAACATGTACCCCTATTCAGAAATATTTTTTTTCAAAATAGCATCTCCAGTGGACTTACCCACCTTACTCTATTCGCTTTCCATTCGCTTTTCCAATCGCTTTCCATTTCGCTCCATTCACTGTCTATATCTAATATCCACTTCCTAATCTCTATTCTCTACTCTCTGTTCTTGACTCTGTAATAATCTGCTCCCGTATACTCTCCACTCTCTAATCCCTTCTTTCTACTCTCTAACTCTAACATCTACTCTAATCTACTATATCCTGTATAAGAGATTATTATTTTGGTGCGAAATTCCAGTGCATCGTCCCCAGAAAAAATGTATAAATTTATATTCTTATCATCTTGGCGTGTGTTTTAAAATTACAGTGAGCTTCAAATTACATTAGAAAATCACCCTGAAAGGAGCCACTTAATACAGCCTCGTGATGATTAAATTATCCATAACCAATGTGATTACCATACTCCAAAATAAGGCAAAGTATAATACTACTCATCATTTTTTTTCACAACCTTCACATTTCTTCGATGCCTTTTCCCAAAAACAGTAAAGCGAATGTGGCAAGTGGCGCTTAGCGGTCAGCGGAGCGCGAAGTCAAAGGAGTGCATCCGCTCGCTTTCAGTGTATTCGGAATGCTCGTGTAATGCCAATGGGCGCAGTATTCTACGCAGTGCTGCGGCTTTCTTTTCTCCGGCACGGCCATCAAGATATTGGCCAAAGGCCCGGCCACCGCACGCCACTCTTACCTAAAGCCGACCAAGTACGCGCTAAATTCCTATGAGAAAAGTACCTCGTAATAAAGTTTTTTGTCATGCAAGAGCTGACTCGTGTTTCGTGTTGACTATCAAACTTTTAGCGAGCGACTTTGTACACGGAAAAATGGTCCATCGAAACACGCGATTGACCGATCATTCGGGTTTTTTCAATTTGAAATTTAAATGCGGCGAACGGGAGATGTAAATAGTAAATTGGCTTCGAATGAACGACGTAAATCCCGGAGCGGAGCGGTAGTTAAAGCGAGTTCTCATCAAGAGCAGGCCGAGAGGGCAATAAAACAAAAGATTCCCAAAAAGAAATAACCGATATAATGTGTTTGGTTTGGTTATAGTGGACCTCATGCCGTGTTTGTACAGAGAGATGGGACTCGGTTTTGATGTTGAACAAATAAACTGTGCGCCAGGATTGGACTCTACTGGGCTGGATTTATTTTGAAATTTGTTATTTTTAATTTTTTAAAGAAGTTTATCGTGACAAATGATTACAGTAGTATCTAAATGATATCAAAAATGAAGATGAAAGTAAAAATTTTCATACATAAAATTGTCAATAAAAATATTAAATAAATATAATATCCGATGCTTACGTATATGGCACTAAAAATAGAAAAAGAAAATAAAATTAGTTCATATAAAGGAAAACACCAACCTGAAATAATTGCGGAGCATCCACAAACAGAAGTCCCTCGAATTTATTCGATTGCCATTTATTAAAATATTGGAGACATTTACATTAAATTACCTACATTATTAGTCTTGTAGCTCCAATGTAGGAATTTTAAAATCAAATCCTATCCCACATATTCCGGACTAAAGTTATCCGAAAGTCGACCCTGATTTCATTGAAACCAGTCAAACTCCGCGGGATTCAGTCCGCCCATCTGGGTACATAATTAATTATTCCCCGATGACCACCGCTTTAAATATTATTAATAACGTTTTAATAACCCGACTCGGCTAAGAAACTTCGACGAGTACAAAGCGACCATTTTTCCCATTACTGCTAATTACAGATATTATTTACGAGTATGCAAGTCGAGCTAAATTCGTAGTTTGTGAAGCGTTTTCCTGCCTCTATGCAGGAAAGTAATTAAATTATCGGAGGAGTGCAGTTAAATTTACGTTGGTTGATTAGGCGAAACGGCGAGGAATATTCTATCTGCGTATAATTGGAGTTCCCTTCGGGATTTTTACCTGTTGGTAATGGACTTACGTTGTAAACGTATCTTCGCTCATATAATTTTATCGATAAACTTTTCAGCTGTTGTTTTTTAAATGTCGACACTTTAGATTAGGTTCTAAGTAGTTACACACGTACCTGTTCGATATAAAAAAACGAGTGGTTTTAGGATCGTTGTATCCTGTTTATTTAATCGGCAGGATACGTATTACCATAAGTAGTTTTTTATTGCTAACGATTTCTTGAGAAGATATAAAAATATGAGGATCCTTTCAAACTATTTTATTATTTAACAACTCAATATTTTTTTTACAAAACTTAATAACGCAAAATATAACATACCATAACATTCCTATAAATTAATAAAACGTGTTAAATATCTGACTATTACAAAAAATACCGTTTTAATATCTAAGTTGGTAATTTATTTTGACACTTCATTGGTAAATATTCTCACTTGTTCAGTTGTTCCCTGAAAATAATATATTTTTATGGTTCATATTACACGGCAATAAAAAGCTGAAAGGCTAGCTGTGACCTTTTACAATAATAATTATTGTTCTTAAACAATTTTCTCTTTTTTTATAATTTTGTTAGTAAATACCTATCACTACTACTACCTACCGCGAACGTCGCTTTATTACATTAATCCCACATCCAATAACTCAAGAGATTTTAGTACAAATAAATCCGATATTTTATTTCTACAAATATTAGACTTACCCATAATATCGAATGGCTTTCATTTTAAAAGCTGTAGAATTCTCTTTGCATTTGTACGCCAGCACTTGCTTTATCCTACTTATTTCTACCATAGGGAACCTGTTAGCTACGTAAGCTACAATAATTATTAGTATTAAATAGGTGTAAAAATTAGTCGAGACATGCGGAAGGTGAATTGAATCGGCTTACATATTATAGCCTGGACTTTAGCGCGATCCAGGGCCGGTTTTACCGGTCGTTCCCCGTTTCCTGCTCTACTCCACCTTTGTCCTGTGACCGAGCAAGTCGCCAACTCGGCAGGACTAAATAATATGGTGGCAAGACCTCTGGTTAGTTTCCTGTAATCGCTCCATTTGAGGTTCCTCAGCTGGTCTTCGTATATTTCAATCCCTTCTCCGATCTTCACCTGTGATAGATGGTTTTGGTGGAAATCGTTTCTTTTAGTTGGAGTTCGACTTACCAATTTTTGCTTCAGTTCGCTGTCTTGCGGAGAATCGTCGGGTAAGTGAAAGGTTTGGTTGTTGTTGTTCGATAGCCAATTTTCGGTTGAATTTTTTCCGGTAAATTTGAAAGCTAGTTAAAAAATAAATAAATTTTCTATAGGTAATAAAAGTAGATTAAGTAGTCATCGTTTTAATTTAGAATATGAAATTATACAGGAATTTTAAAACAATCTTTGTGTATAGTCACTTGAATAACGATCCTAAAGTGTTAATTCGAGTAAATCGTGGAAATTTACACTTTCTACAAGCTCCCTAGCAACAGTAATACTTATTACATTCATATAATAGTAACATATAAAAGAACAATCTCTTTCAAAAAATATTATTTTACAAACTCTCAATTTTTTATTTTAATTATGCTTTCAAGAATTATACATATTTTCATTAAAATTAAGCCGATTAGTCGCTTTAAGCAACCCATTTTTCGTATCATATTTGGTATTATTTAAAACTTTATCATTATTCAGTCCACTTTTGTACATGTACTGGTTAGTATGGGACGTGATAATGTGCCTTCTAAGGTACAGGTCTGTCTTGAACTGTTTCTGGCAATAGACACATTGCACGTACGTAGGATAATGTATTAATTTCAAATGTTGGCGCAAATTCGAAAGGTTACTGTACACCTTTCCGCATTTGTCACACGGTCTGGGATCCAGTGAATGAAGCTTTCTGGTGTCGTTGCCTGCAACAAACCAATTTTTAATCGAAAAATATAGATCGTTGCAAACAAGACTACAACACAAGAACGATCACTCACAGCCTTTCAACATAACCAAAATACAGGGTGTCCCGCATATGAACCGATACAGAGCAGGTGCTTGCAGGTGACCTACCTAACTTAATACGAAGTTTCATTCCTAAGAAATTAAGGGATTTTAAAGTGGAGTTCAAAAGTTGGCTGTTAAACAACATATTTCAGGCTCCCCTACACGCCTCTGCTCTTTGTTGGTTCTTATGCGGGACACCCTGTATTATTCGAAGAATCTGATAATGAATGAACCCACGTTAGCATTTATTTAGGGCTACAAACAGATCAAGACATGTTTGGTAGAATTTAAGCGAATGACAAAATCAGTAAATGAAATAATGCAAGGTTATCAAAGGTAAATTCGTCGCGATCATTGAGAATTATTCGATGAATATTGCACTAATTGTTTGGTGTTGTACAACCAATATGTAAATGGAATAGTGAATAATTTAAAAAGGCTTGCTTACCTAATAAAGATGTGTCATAATTTTCATCTTTTTCGTGGTAATTAGACGTTTGAGGTATAATCTCCATTCCACCTAGAAACATAATTTTTCATAAATAATTTGCAGAAAAAATTGTGATTCTTTCATACCTGATAATTCCCTGGTATCAGACGATACATAAAGCCCCGGTATTCTACTAATATCATTATCTCCGATATTGTCATCGTCATCATCAACAACATAATCGGGACTTTCGAGCTTCGGTTGAATATTTTTCTCTCGATCATTACCACTGCTTTCATTCTGATTATCTCTAAACCCGTACTGATCTTCCCCATCGTCTTGTTGAACCGAAACCGCCTCCGGAGCAGATTTGCACATCTTCTTAGGCGGCGGACTAGAAACGTTTGGCAACACCTCGGGAACATCTTGACTAGAAGTAACGACTGTAGACGATGATATTTGCTTCGACCTCTCCGTTTTGTGTTTGGAGTTCTTATAGCAATCTACTTGAGTGTCCTTCTTGTGTATATCCGATGCGGTGTCAGTTAAACCGCGAATTTTCAACGATTCCGCCGTTTTCAAGAAGGTCGATAGGTTTGTTTGAGCAATGTTGACTTCCCCTGCGTACATAAATTCCATCAGAGACGTGATATGTTGAGCTTCCACATCGCGCATAAAGATAATCGGATGTGGACACGGATTAGTCTGAAACAATGTAATTGAATCAATTCTACTTCTTAGGATAGTCTTAGTTATATTACCTTAAAGAGTTCCTTAAAGAAAGGGCTACATGCTGATAAAACTACCTTGTGGGCCTGTAATCTCTGGCCATCGCATGCTATCGTAACATCTGTAAAATCCTCGTCGTAGCGTAGTGTTTCGAATTGCGAAGTTATGTTGGCTTGGAAGTTGTTCCATTTTAAACAGAACTGTTGATCGTCTTCCAACGCCATGGTGTCGGGTTTTTTTAATAATTCTTAGATGTACCTGGAAGAATAAAACCGGCCATCTCCATATCGAGATTAAAAATAAACGATCTTTTAATTCTAATCAATATTTAAGTGTTTCTTTTGACCAACCCAGAAAAATCAGTTTTCCCTATGGTGTGTGGGAAAATTTGGAATGCGCTTTTCAATGTAAATTAACTTAAACTATTCGGTGAAGTTTTTTGTAAAAACACGTAGACATTATTACCTTCGAGAATTATCCAAATTTTCACGTTTTTTACTCATTTGTCACTGATTTTTGTTTTCACGAGCTTGATTTATGATTCGTAACTTATTCGAAAAAAAACAGTATTCACGTGAATGGAGTTTCTCACACAAATATTTTAATAAAAAATTAAAATTGTATTTGATATTTGATTAATAATAAATTATAAATAAATAATAGTTGGCAATAATTAAAAAGTTCTATGACACTGACACTGACATTGACATTGACATTGACATTTCGTACTATATATTTCAGAAGAAGTCAAGAGGTCAAGAGGAATATAGAAATCATTACAAGTTGAAAAAATATATATAGTTTTTTTTTTTAAATTAGTACATTTTACCCTTTTATTTAGTGAAAATATGTACGTATTTAAATTTTTTCTTGCACAGAACACAGAACATAAATTAACATACTAGTGGCTCCATCTACGAAGCACCTTTGCATATTAGCATTTCAGTTACAATTTTCATTTTTTCTAATTTAATAAAATGTCAATAGATGGAAAGTTGCTAAAAAATCTGGAGGATTGATGATGGGTGGTAATTTACAAATAATTCATCTTTCAATTTAACTTACATGAAAATAGTTTTATTAGTAATTGCGTCACATCTAGTAGGCCAAATTAATGTCAGCCATTACGTTAAATTTTTCACGTTTTTTTTGTTTCATTATTTATTTTTCTTTAATTACTCCCACAGATTACTCCCATTAATTTTAGTTCTTAGTAGAGCCATGGAGTTATTAAGTAGCCAAGAACTAGAAAAATGCATGGACAAATTCGAATTCGTATTGTCTGTAAGCCTTTTATTACATTGTGTTGCACTTTTTATGCTAATTTCCTTTTACACTTCTAGAAGCAAACGACAATCAGTAGCAATCACAAACAATTTCTTCAATTCGCCGGCAAAATAATTAAAGATTTGAAAAACTCTAAAAAGACCGAAAATGCTTTAAGGAAAAATCTCAAAGTACTAACGGCACACAAAAATTTTAATCTTCACTCAAAATATGTTGATTTAACAGGTAATAATAATCCACAGATTTCCGATATAAACCCTAAATAATAAACCCCATATTTAGAAAAACACGAGGAGTTAGAAATCGAGTATAACCAGATGCTAAAAGACAAAGAAGAAATGAACAATAAAATACAGATCGAATTAGAAACTCAAAAAGCCGAATATTTGAAAAAAATCAACGAATTAGAAGAAAAATCCCAAAAGGAAATAACCAGCTTGAAGAATCAGTTGGAGAATATCAGAAATAACTACGAAAAGAAAGGTCTTCATCAACGCGCTTTACAAATAATATCCAATTAATTAGACTTATTATTAGTACATTAGATAATTAAATTTTTTTGATAGAGAAGGAATTATTCAACGAATTGCAAATGACCCAAGCCGCCAGCGCCTTGGAATGGGACGAAAGAGAAACGAATTTGAAACAGAAACTCGAAGAATCGAAAATTCAACAGCGCCAATTGCAAAATAATTTGTGCGAGTTGAGATACGAGAATAACCAGTTACGAAGTCAAATATCGTCGCAAGTAAATAAACATTTCCACAAATGAAGCTCTTTTAATGATGATGAGTACCGTTTTTAGCAATTTATGAACCAACGCAACGTCTTATATTACCAAGAAAACTGTTATCAACCCAACTTTAGCAATTATAATGGCGGTAATAAGCTTAGTGAAAATCAATATCCTATGCCACAAGCTCAACCAGAAAAAATCGAACTTATAGAATTGGAGAATCAGAGTGTAACTGATATAAGGACTTCAATTGGAAAGAATATAACAATGTATCAATTACTTAATAATTGATTAATTTGTGCACTAATTTGCATTGTTTTTTAGCAATTCTGCTTTATTTAATACAAATGGAAATAACGCAAATAAAGAAACCAGCCAATTTAAATTTCTTCAACCTGATGTAAAACTTACCAAACCCACAGTTCAAGTGAATTCAAATACTACTAATGGCGTAGAAGCCTTAAAGAATACAGAAAATAAACCATTAGGTAAATCTGTAGGTAACAAACGAGAAATGTCTCAAGTAAATTGTATTCCCAGGAGCGAATCATTTACTGGTATTTATAATAATAAATGCTCAAATTCTCAGCAAAACGTTCAAACAGCACCAAGCTGTTCGAAAAATACGTGGAAGGAGTCGAACGCTTTTACTGCGTTAGAAAATAGAAAAAATGTAAACAAGGTACGGTAGGGCGGGGCTAGTTGAGCAACTTTTCACTTTAGCGGATATAGCTCATCAATGATATGTGTGAATGACTTGTTATGTGGCTTGATGGATTAGTAATTTATCCCTTAACAAAAGTGCCCATAGTAACTTTTTTGTAACTAGTTGAATTTAAGAGCTACAGCTGTTTAAATGCAGAAAGTCAAGTATGCTCAATGTACCCCATAGGTGAGGTAAGTTGAGCAACGGTATGTTTACATATAGGATATGTTTATTTTTATAATCATCTCTTTATTTATTGTGATTTAGTGACAAAACAACAAAACTTAAAGTAATTTACGAGCTTTCTGTTTAAAATCAGAATTAAATAGCTTAAAAAAATATTAATAATATATTAGCAAGTTTTGGTCGTTGTTACTGTTGCAATTAATACAAATGAAAGTAAGACCATAGCACCTGGAAGACATTTTATTTGTGCCCATTCCCTGCAAGCTTGGCAGTGAATCCAACTTTCTCCTGGTAAATTTCGCAGTAGTTGCTCAACTAACCCCAACCCGCAATTTTAAAATAAAAGTGAGGTCATAAAGAAATCGTAAGAATTATAACCAGAACATCTCTACATATCAAAAGTACAATAATTTTCTGGAATATTAACCCTTACCCCATTGAAAACGGATAATATTTGACTAATACAGACGAAAACTTGCGATAGACGACGTTTTTACTTTTTGGTCACAAAAAAAACAAAACGCACGGGGGCTTTACTCGCTTGTCGAGGCGCCACTTGCAATAGCTCTGTGATTAGGTCTCCCCCGATCCCTTCTTTCCGCCATAAGATGTTTATGCGTACGGTGAATAGTTTGCGAGATATTTCGATTGCACAACTTACCCGTATGCTCAACTAGCCCCGCCCTACCCTACTGCCGTTGGTGCCACAACATAACGTCAATAATAAAAAAAATAATTCCGCGAAAAATACAGAAACTAGGCGTAAGAAAAGAAAGTTGTTCGACCCGAAAAGTACTGATTACTTAGATTAATTTCGTTTAATTGTTACAAATTGTATCGTTTCTGTTTAATTTAATGTTTGATTAAAATATGTTTTCTTTCTCATGTTTTAAAACAACCCCGTTTTATATAGACATTTATTTACATATAATCCAATTACAAATGAAAGTGCATCCATTACAGTATATATTTACAAATAAAATATCCAAGGCGTCGCAGAAGTTTGTGTTTCAAATTTTTTTATTCAAAAGATCAGATAAAAATAGTGTTAGTTAATCATAAAAAAATGATCTAATATTTTTACTTGATTTTATGAAATCTTAAATTTAAAGCACGAACTTCAGGGACACCCTATTCTGTATAGTTAAGTTCACCTACATAAGAGTAAAGTTTCTTGTGGCTTTGATCTTATATTACTGAACTTACCTATCCCATATATTTAAATTCCAACGTTTATATGTTTTGAAAGAGGAAAATAGAGAGATAAAAACGCCATGAAGGACCCTAAAATCGAAATCGGCCCTTCGGCTCGGCCCTCTCTATTCTGAACATTGAATGAACATCTATTCCTGAACATTCAATAAAACATCTCTTTCGTTACATTAATTTCACATTAGAACAGTCTGTATATCTTAATATCATAGCTAAACCTTAATAATACAAAGAAAATAGTCTTGTCAGATTTGTATATACAAAAATCATGTACAATTAAAAAACTAATTAATAACAAAAAAACAAAATATTTGCGCTCTCTTTTAATATCATATAAAATATTCTCTATATAACGTTTTATTTTAGTCTTCTAGAAATATCGTATATCTTTCAAATGCAACATAATAAATTACAAAAATAATTACTTAAATTATATATCGATTAATCGTTGCAATTTGAAAGATATACCTAATTTCTAAGTAGTTTTATTTGAGATCACATTTATAATTCATAACGAAACGTTATTCATTAACGTCAATCGTTATTTGTTTTTGTTCGTCAAATCCGCTGTTATCCAAATTAAATATTTATTATAATACACATTTAAATTAATACACGATTAAATAATTTGTTAATCATTCTTTGGATTACTTGCGCTTTTCAAAAATAGCCGATTTGACTTATTCGATTTCTAATTTTCATATAAATAGATGATAATAAAGTTCCATATCTTTTCAACACATTAAGTACATAAATTAAGCTTATGTAATCGAAAAATCAATTGTGTTATTTTCATTTGGCACATACGTGTGTACTTTCGGCACACAAAAACATAGCACACGGAAATTACAACGAAAAGAATGCGAAAAATATAGACGAAAATAACACAACAAATATATCTTAACAATTTACAATAATAGAGAGCGTAAGAAACGCGTATTGCAATTTAAATCACATTTTATTATAAAATTGTTCTTCGTTATATCAGCCTCATATTAAAAAAATGGCAATAAGTGACTTAAAACGAATTGTTTTCATTAAGGATAAGTAATAGCTAATAATTCCTTCCATATCCTATTATTTATCCGTAATTTAATACAAACTAAATTGGAATAGTGTTGTGTGTTACCGATTCGAGTGAATATGCACATTATATCAAGCAACATATATTATACTTTTATATAGTATTATTTGCCACCTTTTCATAATTTAATAATATACTTTATAATACACAAATATAAAAATACACTTTATAAAATATAAATAACATTAACCGAATATTTTCGACGTTAATTTATATAACAATATTATTACAGGAATCACGACTCTGATATGTGATTATGCCACTAGTCATCTTCATTGGGATGAACAAATTTACGAATCAATTCAAATGACAATATTTCATTTAGCATATCCGCTAAATGAGACCTTTTTTCAGTAGTATACTATTAAATTATTTGTCTAAATTCAAACATGATCTTTAGAAAGACAGCAAATGCTGAATATCGATGAGAAAAAGAGCAAGGGCAAGGGGAAACATTTATCGAGTTCATTCAGGCTTTTTAGGTAACATCTAAGATTTATACTTTTTTAAACACATTAATTATTACCCTGTAAATATTGTGAATATTTTGCACATTAATAACATTGAACAGCCAGTTATATTATTTAAATTGATTATTTTTTTGACATATAAGCATTCCATCGAACCCAGCAAGTAGGTATGCGTCAGAAATCCAGTAAATAACTGTATTTTCCGTGTGTGGGGGAGGGCGAGAAAAGGTGTAAACAGACCTGTGAAATGGAGGGTAACTCAGCAACACTTAGACGATAAGTCCGTCAGGTACTCAAGAAGATAACATTTGACATAAGACGAAATAATCAAGGGGAACATGCTGGTAAGTGAAGTGGGTATCAGCAAAACACCAGTCGTGACGTGTTTACACGATTATTTCTCGGATTACTCGCCTCGTTCTCGAATTCGGCGTCGAATAACCGCTCTCCAAGCTCTCCTCGTAATTCAAAGACATGTGCTGCGGCGGCTTCTCCTCCTCCATTTGCTCCAAATACGGATCCGGCAAGCCGCTGACGTCGTGGTAAGGAGAATCTAAAAGAACAGGATCTTCGGTTAAACAACACCCTCGCATAATATCAGCTCAAACACCTACCTATGTGCTGTTCAATCCGCTTCTTTGGTTTGTGCACCGAAGCGTACGGGTCGCTGCAGTAGTCCTGTCTGGACGGATTGTTGCTGCTTCTCATGTACTCGTCGCCGTGGTTGCTTTGCGTGGTTATGTGCGGGTAGGGGGCGTAATCGTCGACCGCTCCGTAGCCCCCGTGCGTGATCGGATCGTATCCATAGGTGTTCTGCCTGTCCACGTTCATCTGGTGCTGTTGCAGTTGATTGTTCGAATTCGTCGAAGCCGCCGCCATCTTCATCTGCCACAGGGAGTCCTGCGAATTCACGCTGCCGCCGTTGTTCGAATTGGAGTAGCTGTTCTCGATGTAGCCCATATTGGCCCCTGGGAAAAATTAAATTAATTTTTATACCGAGTTTAGAAGGCTCGATAGCGGTCTTCTTCGCCGCAACAGTAGGTACATAGGATTGAAGGGGTTGGAAAATACGTAAGAAAATAATGCTACTTACAGTCAGGGTTGTTTATAATCTGCCTAGAATGAATGTCGACGTTTCCAACGTGGTATCCGTACCCGTTTTGCGTGGCGTATACGGATTTCTGTTCTTCGAGCGCCAGAGCCAAGTCTAACGAATGCTCTAGCGCTTTATTATCCATGCCGGTGGAGGGAGAATACGGCGGCGGTCCTTGGTTTTGTTGCGATAAAATCGTCGGTTCGGAATCCATTTCGTATTCTTTGGCTTGTCGCGATTTGATAGATTGCGTCTTCTTGCACTTGTAGAACGCAAGTATGAAGCTTATCAAAAGTCCCAATATGACGAACGTCACGATTATAGCGACTATAGCTGGTGTTCCTAACGCAGATGCTTCTCTAATGAAACCACTACCATCTAAAAAAATATTATTTAATGTACCTAATAAGAAGTTAACAAAAAATTGAATACTTACATATCGCATCAATGAATTCTCCGCAGTGTTCGGGGTGCGTTTGCAGGCACAATTTCACCCTAATTTTAGGCGTTTCTTCGTCGTTTACTCCAATAGGCTCGTCGACTAACGCTTTCCCCCTGTAATGCACGTAGCCTACTTGATGCAAATCCTTGTCTTTGTAAGTGGCTTCTACTCCAGACACGTGGAGTTCTATAGTATCTATGACCTGCCAAGCGGTAATAGAATGATGTTCGTTGCTGACGGCTTCCACGACGGCTATCAAAGGCAAGCAAGTGGCCGGCACGTTTATGGACACAACGTTGGCGTTTTTATCGTATTCCACGCCTTGCGGCACCGGTATCACGGCTACGGTGGTTCTATCGCGAATTTCTTGAGAATTATCGCTCACCCCCTTCGTGTTGACGGCTTTTACCTGCGAAATAATACCATTGCGTAAGCGAATTCAAATACCGTTACGCCTAAATTTATTACCTTGAACAGATAGCTTTGGTATTGTTCCAGGTGAGATATGTTGCACGGCACGCTTTGGTGGCAATCCACTTCGTTCCAGTCGCCCGACCGCGCGTTATTGCTGCAACCTTCGACGGCGGTGTCGCTTTCGCTGGCCACTTTCCTGTACGAAACGAAATACTTGGTGTTGGCGATGCCGCCGTTGAAGCCGGGCTCCCAGCCGAGGGTGACGAAGTTGTGGCCGTGGTGCAGGGCCACCGCCTTGGTGGGCTTCTCCGGCGGTCCCTTCGATTGCAATTTGATTTTCGTCTCCGTGGTGCCGATGCTGTTGACGACGTGGCACGTGTAGTCGCCGTAATCGACCTTCCGCATGTTCGATATGCGGAGGACGCTCGTGTACACGTCCTCCTCGTTGCTGGTGCGTATGACGTAGTGCCCTTCGGTGGAGGAGTGCAAGGGGTTGACGTTCGACGAGAAGAACCATTTGAATTCGGGCTTGGGGAAGGCCTGGACTTTACAAACGACCTCTGCTCTCTCGCCGACGTCGTACGCTACTTTGTTGAAGTGGTGCAGTACGATCGGTTCGTCTGAAACAAACAGAAATTCATCAGATAAAACGAATCGGTTATAATACGTTTACACTTACGTTCTATTTTCAAATGCATCGTCGATTCGGATTTCTTCACCTCGTTCTCGAACACGCAAGTGTACACTCCTTTATCTGACGGAACCAATTGGTTCCCCTTCGGTCTGGCCTTTCCGGAGAACTTCAGCACGCTTTGAACGCTCACGGCTCGGTTACTGGTTTCCAAATAATCCGTCCTCAGTTCGAACATATTCACATCGGCCGTGAGTTCCTCTCCGTCTTTCAGCCACTTCACCATCGGCTTGGGTTTACTTCGGGCGCTGCAGGCTATCACGAAGTTGCTCTCCCTCACGCGCTTCACCTCCAGCGGCTTCAGCTTGCTTTTGAAACTGGGAGGAACGTACACCTCCAAATCCGCCGACGCCACTTCGCTGGGGCCCAGCTCGTTGGTGGCCTGGCAATTGAAGACGCCTTCGGTGGCCAGATTGGCGTTGTGTATGGTGTATTTAGGGCCGGTGGCGAGGATCGTCGACTCTCCGTCGGCGCCTATTTTAAACCAGCGGAATTGCGGAGCCGGCCAGCCGGGCGGGGAGGTCGTGCAGGTCAGGCTGACCGAGGAGCCTTCGGTGGCGATGGGTTTGTCCGGCATGATCCTGGCTCGGCCGGGACGATGTCGCACCAGCAGAGCGATGGAAGCGTTGCCGATTTTCTCGTAGGAGCGCAACGGCGGGGCGCTGGGGGTGATCACGTTGACGGCTCTGCACATGTAAGTGCCGGAATGCTCGGCTTTAACTTGCGCTATGGTTAGAGTGTCGCCGTTTTGCCGGAAATCGGGTTTGCCTTCCTTCACCCATTCTACTATCGATGGTAGCGGATTGGCGCTCACGTTGCACGGGATGATGATCAACTCGCCCTCTTCCGCTTCTTTGGTTTTGGATCCAATCGTCACCATCGGCGTGTACAGTACGTCTAAAGTCAATTCTTTGGAACCCGCTTTGCCTAATTCGTTGTCCGCCTCGCAGGTGTATTTTCCAGCGTCCTGGATGCTTACGCGATGTATCGTGTGATTGAACGCCGAACTTATGAATCTATAATGAAACGAGGAAATATTTTAATATCGGCGTTTAATAATTCACGGAAACCACGTATCCCCGACCGGATTCGGCCGTTCCGATAAGACAATCCCTTTTACTTATTAATTTCCACTTACCTGTTGTTTCTCGTCCATCGTATAGTCGTAACTTTGGGCTTGGCGTCGACGGAGCACCGAAGGGTGGCTTGGGAATCCTTTTCGACTCGAAGGGGATTTTCCGGCCCTACTTGGACACGTGGAAAATCTGTAATAGCGAGAAGTGGGTAAGTTAGAGTCGTAAATCGAAAACTAGTGGAAATTGCTTGGTGCCTTCAAATCGAAATCGTTAGTATTACGAGAGTTGCGAGAAAACACGTTACGTGTTAGACAGTGGGCAATAATAAAATTAGGAAATTATATCTCGAGGATAAATTTTGAATTTTTGAGCGTGTTTTTCTCTTTCGCAAATTTCAATTAATCCATTAAAGCGCACGGAATTTTCAAAGGGCCTAATTCGTTAGAAGTACTCTAATTCGCTCATAAATTACTTTCCTCTACTTAAAAGCTATTAAGTTTTGGAGAAGATCGTTCCGAATTACACTGGGCCCAACGAAACATTTTTAATTTTGGGTAATGTAACGTTCAAATATTGATTCAAATTTAAGCAAAAATTTAATAAATCCATTAAATAAATTTAAAATTTACAAACGAACGTTTATCTTGTGAACTGAATTTTTTCGTCTCTGAAAATAGTAGTACGGCGTTATTGCCTCTACAACATCTGGAAATTCACCCATAGAAAACACACACGTATACCGGATGCTGTCTTTTACAAATATTTATTTTACAATCTGTAACCACGGGTCTTTTATGTCGGATTCCGAGTTTATAAATTCGCCTAGTACATTACACATATAACACCTTAAGTGCAAAATCGGCCGTTAAACGCATAAATATTTAAAGAAAATTATGAAGTAAAGGCTCGCATGATGTACGGCAGGTGAACGTATTCGTTCGAAAATATTTTGCAAGGCGAAAAACGCAAAACAGACGCCCGCGAATTGGGTCGGAGCATTAGCATTACCAAGGAAAATAAATATTGTAATGATAAACAGTTTTTATATTAAGATTTCGGGTATATTTTGTAGGTGCATGAGTAAAATATCGCTCTAGATGCATCATCTAAAAATCTAATCTATTTGCCAGTCATTATGAGCGAGTTCTTCACCGTTTCTGGACACTTCAATTTCTCCATGCTGGGCTGGGCCGCCAGAACTCAATTCCATCGGACGGTGATTAATCACGTTTTAATCTTGCTGCTGGGACTTAAAAGGTTAAATTACTACGGGATTTGTAATTTTTCTTCTAGCCCTCATGTTGATTTACCATCAAACACCGTATTAGGAATTAATTAAAAAGCGCCTGTTTCGGGGATAATTAGGAAATTAATTTCATCCCGGCATGCTTTGTACCCAGCGAGTTAAATGACTTTTATTTTAGGCTCTTTTGTTGAATTCGCGTTACCGAGTTTTGGATTTTTAATCTTTACATAATTTTATTGTGAGAGAGATAATTTTAATGTGCTCTTTCCAAACCACACGCTGTGGATATGATGTATTATGACAATAAAAACTCCCATGTTTTTTAAAAAACAAATATTTAGAATCCGTTTTGTTTGACAACAAAACCTCGAGAAACACGATACGAGTTTGTCGGGACATCTGCCAATGCCTATAACAAGTGAAAATTTGAGCGTTGCTAAAAAATCGCGTTGCACATAAAAAAAACGCGGCATGTAAAGTTAGTTATTCGAAGAATCGCCAGCCAAACCCGACCGGTAAATAGCGAGAATCAATGTAATTAACAAACAAACACACCCCGGCGGAATGAAGTCGGCAATACTTCCCTCTTCTATCACTTCCAGTAATTACACAGCATTAATTATACAAGGAAATCGATTATGTACTTGGCATCATCTGAGTCGCATTAGCGGGATTGTTTGAACAATGAATAAAAAAAATACCACGGTCATTCGGATTTCCAGGCACCAAAAAAGACTTTAATGTGTAATAAACAACCCGAGAGGAAATAAGCAGTTTTCGTTGTAAGTTGTAGTTGAGTTAAGAAAATAGGGTTTCTAATTAAAGTTCTGTTGATGGGCACTAATTAAATATCTCGAAAAGTTAAGTCCATATTCGTTTACGATAAAGTTGAGAGCAGGTTTGGATGTCTTAAGTTTCAATAAACTTCATTTCTCGCAATGTAAAGCTTCGTCATTCTTGTTTTGTACAATTTTATTAAGAATCATTTCACTTAAAGAGGTAAAAAGATCACAAAATATCCAGGAATCGTCCTGCACTTACGTGATGATTTTCCAGTTCGTCGCCCAAGTATATTTGCTAGATGCTCCATTGCGAAATTAATATTACCTACTCCAAAAGCCAGACGATGAAAATAAAATGTTTCGCAAAAAATACCTTTCGTATTTTAAAGTTGATGCAAAACGTATAATTACGGAGTCATTGGAATACAGTGCGCAATATTATATCGTTCCTGTTTGAAAATCCGGAATGTAATATTTGGAGCAATTATTTCCAATCCAAATACCCATAATGCAGAATGCTATGTTTAATTGATCATTACGATTTAATTAGAGAACAGATTCAATTTCTATTTCGTATCGTTGTCTTCTCAGCAATTATTCGATTATTTTGCGTCCAAATAATTCACATTTGATTTATAGAAACAATAAAAAAATTGCGAAATCGAGCAAACGCAAGCACAACAAAAAAGGGCAAAAACCGCCCGGAAATCACGTCCGGCGATTATTCCAGAATTGGGGTTCCGAATCTCCCCGGTTAATAAAAATAAACGGAAAAACTTACAGTTAACGCTGAGCACCATCTTCGAGACTAATTTGCTGCCGGTGGGAAGCGCCCTGTTCCAGACTTCGCATCGGAAAACCGCCTCGTCGTCGTCTTTCGTGGGGTTGATGACGAGGGTGGAGGTGGTGGGCTGATCCTTGGAGCCGCCGTGCCTCAACGCCGTCGGCAGAGGGTATGTTCCACCTGGAAAAATTAATTTATGCGAATGAATAGGCGAGGCAACTAAATAACAAAAGTGCTCGAGTTTAAATTCCGGCAAGATTGTATCTGATCTGCCACAATAGAGACGTAAAGGGGACAAAGACTCGGTGGAAGGTGAATGTTTGCACGCTGGAGGAAGTTTCAGCCGCAATTTTCTTGCTCTCAACTAGTCAACTGCATTTCAAGTTCGATTTTCATTTGAGCTGTGCAATGAGAAAAGTCCATTTAAACTCAGCAATTTCCATTAAAACTTGAACCTATCCAATACTACTGATACAGTTTACGAAAATTTACATTTACCGCGTTCGTTATTATCCTCGCGGATGGACTTTTAATATGCATATTATTCAGATTGATTTTTCCAAGAACGGAGTCATCTCCAAAGTGTCTCTCAAAAGTGTTCTTAAAGATTTAAAAATCGAAAGATTATCCTAAAATAAACTGACGGGTCATCCTAGACAAACTTTCTAAAACTGGAAGAAATTTTCATTGAAAATATATGACCTGCCAGACGAAAGAATTTATTTTATTTACCTATACCTATATTATATGAAAATTTGAATTAAAAACTTGCACAAATTCATCTATATTTTCTAATATAAATGTTATCCATTGTTGTTGTTCGTAACTTTAGTTTTGTAAATTATGATTAATTGCTTGTACAGGGATGGCAAATACCTATCACATTAAAATTTGCAAATTTAAAATCGAACGTTACTTATTACATGAACGAATCACCTTGTAGGTACGAACATACAACATTAATTACAGTAGACCCTTAATTAGCCGAATATATTTATCCATTTGTCAGTATATAAAATGTGGAAAGGTATTGTGAAAAGAGCGACCGCGGGGAAGCCGCATAACATCCGAGATAAAACATCCAAATTCCATTAAATTTTGATGTTTCACATAAATTTGAATGTGGAGGTATACGGAGCCAATGGTATCAAATGTGTTTCCTTATAACTAGGTTATAAAATGGGAACTTTCTAAGTAATACTTAATTTAAATTTACGCGCGCGTAAAACTTGCCATAACCAAATTTATTATTTGTCCAAGATTTACGATGACGTTTAATGATGAATTCGTTATTGATAAAAAACTTTACGACTTGAATACTGCCAGATAGATCCGGATCAAACACAAGAATTGTATAAATTATCTTTCTCCTGCACAGAATATTGTTTAACAAAAGAATGAACGCCTACAATATAACAAACTATGTGTGTTTTATAGGAAAACTTAATAGCTGATAATTATAAGCAACCGAAAGATTATGTAAAAATATGAGTTATTATCCCAAAAATAGTTTATCGCCGTGTAGCGGAAACGCCTATAAATAAATGGCTAAATAGCGTGAATGAAACTTGCAAATTATAAATAAAACAAAGTTTACATTGTACTTCGGATTAGATTAGTTCCGAACGTGCAGTAAAAATATCGATGTTTAGACATTACGCCACTAAAAACAATCACAATGGGAGTTATAACAATAGAAACTGCTAAAACACAAACGTTATTGTTCCGTTTCTGATTTTTTATATATAAATCATCTTGTAACTCAATATTACGCGTATATAATGGATCATAAAACGAATATTTCATTTTCGAGCTGTATAACGCGCGTTATAGTTCCGATTTTCAGAGTTGATTGAACTTATTTATTTACCACACAGATTTGTATGTAAGAGCTCCCGAACAAGTATAATAAATTACAATTACGCCAGTAGTGTGTACGCATTTTAACTTCGTTTTTAGTTGTTAAGAAGATATTTATATTATAAAAAATAATAAAAAATGAGAAGGAATTTATTTCTGGAAACCATAAAATTAACAAAAGCTACGCGGAGTTGATTAAATTTTTAACAAAAGGAACGAAATTTGTGTAAGCGCCATTTTAGTCGCTAATATGAGTTGCGTTACGAAGTACAATTAGAAAGGTCGGACCGGCGGCATTTCATTAATTTAACTCAATAAGTGTGGCCCGAAACGTAACGCTACATTTTAAAAATCAGGTCAATTTACTACAGCGCTATTGCATTAAGAAATTAACTCCAGAAAACTTGACTAAGGCGTACATTTCGTTCACAAAAACTCTATTTTACGATGGGAAGATTTAAAGCAAATACACCTTATTTGTAAACTCGAATTTAAGATGTCCACGTATGTATCTATTGTCTCACAAGATTCTCTACAGATTTCCAGTATTTCATTATTAATCCCTGTTGAATAAAGTATTTTTTTTTTTGAAATTTATGGACGTGACTCCTGGCGAATTCGAAATGTACTTTTGCATGCGATACGTATGGGATATTACAAATTTATGCGAGAGAAATTGTTTTGTTGGCAGTTGAAATTAGACGTGGCGGAGAGTTTCGCAGCGGTCCAAACAAGAATGTGTATAATTGGTATCTGCTTTTTGGTTTGTTCGTTCGAATAATAATATCGAATAACCATTTGCATATAAATTGAAAGTTTTGCATTTTAAGTCGACTAATGACCGTTACTTCGGCAATTAAAATATTTTTCGGTTAGAGAACCGAATTCTGCTGGTTAAGATGTAAAATTTATTTTTAATCACACGGAATGGAATCACTCGTTAATATTTTATTGAACTTTATTCGAAGTAATGAAACATGTTCCGCCTCTGTACGCTTCTAGCATGTACTTTGATTTAGCGTATTGCGTACGTGGATTTACAAGAACGATTCCTTCGCGTTTCCAGTAGGCAGTTCTCACAGAAAACAAGACAAAGATATGACGGGAAGTAACTTGTTTGATGATATTCCTCGGAAGTGAGTAATCGCTGCTTTAATTCAGTCCGGTTCCGAACAAAGTTCAGAAATTATACCGTTCTGTTTTTCATTTCGATCGAATTTCCCACAGAAATCATCACCGTATGAAGACCGAACGACTTTAATATAAAAGAATGAGATTTCTTTTGGAAATTATTTTACATCATAATTTGCTGGTGTTTTTTTTTTTTAACTTTTTTAAATCTGATGAAGCCAATTTATTTTCTTTCGATAGAAATATCTTGCCTGTTTCCACTATAAGAATTTGACATGATGTCACGTAAAAACAGCTTATACATTTCATTTAATGCCAGATGAAATTTCCGAAGATGTTATTTATTGATTCGGATTTTACAGTAATTCGTCCTCAAATCGTCGATTTTGAAAAGATGCTATTGGCAATTATTTTTAACTGTCAATACGTACTGAGAATTGCCGCAAATTGAAAACGCTAAAATTATATCACAATTTCCTTTCACATTACCAAAGGAAATAAACAAGTCTGACGAAACGGCAACATTTCACAAAATTGAAAAATATTTTTACGGCTGTTTTATTATAGAACACGAAGAAATCCATTAACTGGTTAAATGAAATAAGCGAATGGTTTTACGGTTGTCGTACCTACAGTTGAAATTTAATAGACAGTTCATTTAGTTTTCGTAAAAACGGTTCGAATGTGAATTTCCTTATTTAGCGATATCAATAATAAGTGTGCCATATTTGCCTATATACTATAAATAAAAATTTTATTATATCTTGAAAAATTTAAACAACATTCGTTTTAAAGCGTTAAAGGTACATTACCCATTCCCTTGGCTTTTAAAATCTTTCAATCCTACTTAGAACATAAGTCATTAACATAATCAATAAACACCGATTGGGAATTCTCTTAAAATGGAAGATAGGTAATTAAGAATTGAACGGTTTTCCGAAGTCGCGTTTTATTGAGTCCCTGGAAGGGTTATTAAAGGATACTTGAAAAGTGCTTAAGCCTTGCTGAAAGGCCGTTTAAAAAGTATTTAAAGTATGATTAGAGTGCACACTACGTCATTGGGTAGGTAATTAACAAAGTTATAAAAGAAAATATATCGCCGAGAGGTGTTTCGATTAGGTATTTCTACAACGTTCCAGTGGCGTAACTGGGAAGATTATATAAAAGGGGTTAGCAATAATAAAATATAATAATTACTTAAAGATATAATTGTTGGTTAGTTAGATAGGAAAAGTAAATGAGAAATTGGATTGGAAAATAATTGGATTATACATACACATTAACGCCAATTCAGTTAGGTACTCCCGGTCTAAACTACATAACTATGTTAATTATCGCTCCCGGCAAATTAAGTCCTCTAACGAGTATAATGTACTTTGTAATCTATACTTGGACTGTCGTTTCGGGAAGTTTTTAAGCTTGTAAGAGCCGGACCATCGGCATGAAACGAACTTTGCGTTCATTTTTACGCCCGCTGCTAAAAAGCGGCTTTTCATTCGCACATGTAAACCCCTTAACTTGATAATAAGGTTGTGAGAATGAGATTTTACTTCGAGCAGCTAAAAGCAAAATAATGTAGACAGTTGACGTGGAAAAGAAACTGTTTAGTTTACCACCCATTGAGCTCTGCTTACGTTTACGCCAGACAAGGGAAGGATTTTATGTTTATTCCAGCGAAGAAATATATACGCGTAATTTTATTATGCTTACCTTCTCTGTACCATTTGACTTCCGGGTCCGGCGATCCGCCGATGCTCGAGCACGTTATCTCCTGTTTCTTCCCTTCGGTGACGGTGATGAAAGAGCTAGGCGAAATTTCGGGTTGTTGGGGCAGCGTAAGTACCGTCAAAGCGTACTTTTGCACGTGCAGATTCGTACCGGATCCTCCGGCTTTGACTTTGCACTCGAATCTGCCGTTGTCTCTGTCGTAACTAGCGTTAGAAATCAACAGGTCGTATATGCCCTTGTCCACCTTGTAGTTGAGCCTGGAACAAAGTTTCAAAAATGTATTAACTGTTCAAATATAATTGAAAATATTCTACTCTAATTTTGTTGCGAGGAACTCGACATTTGCTTGCAAACCATGGAACCGATTACGCGGAAAGCTCCATCGATTAATATTCATTTGGTTTGCCAAGTATCGTACCGAAAAGTTTTATAAGAGGCGGTCGGAATCAATTTGAAGTTATCGGAAAGTTTCGGGGGAATTAATTGTTTAGCTTCTCTTTGTTATAGTGTACGGCGTGTATCTATACAAACAATAACCATACGTACACATTGAGAAGCTTATTGCATAGATAATGCAGGCTAACAAGAACGAAGTTGATGAAACAAAATGTTTTTTTAAACGAAAACCCACTTATCCAACTTAATGTTATTGCATAAAAACATCGTTCGACTTTATTTTCATAAGGTCAAGAATCTCCGGCAAACAGTGAAGGAGCCAATAAAATCGAATCAACCCCTAAGAAATTCGGTTATACGTGAAAAAAGTTCCCTAACCGATTTTCCTCTACGCTATCGCGTTTTTCCTTATTTCGGGTGAAGTATTTATCGATGAAATAAGGGTAAGGTTCTGTCAATCCCATTTGAATATCGACTGGTCGGGTTACATTTTTTTTAATATTCATTTTATTCTCTATGTAAACATTTCCGATATATTATCTCATCTTTTTTATATAAAAAATATTAATCCTTAACAAGAACAAGAATTTTTAAGGAATTCGCAACATGAATTTTAGTCAAAAATCACGACATAAAATTGTTACAAACTTAATATTTCAGATTAACTTATTTCCGTAAATAGGAAAAATATCGTTACCCACACGAAAAAACCACTAAATCAGACCATTGTACTATATCTTTCATTTATTTCCCAGAAACGAAATACGCCAACGAAACGAATAAACTTCCATTACAAAGTTGCGGAAAACGTTGAGTAGCGTGTGAAATATGAGTTTTAAAGAAAACCGATAATTATTATTGCGCTAAAATGATTGCTGTGTTGAGCTATTTTTTACGAGCGCCATAAAAAAAGCTGCAAGGTATTGCGTTCCAGCGGAAAAATTAAAAGTCGAAAGGAATTATACAATGATGCATTTCCGCAAACAAAAAAAACCCATTTTCTTTTCGAATAGAAAAATTAATCCAGTGAAATTCGACGCACAATTACTTTTAAACCGCCGTTTATAGATTAGGCAATTACAGACGTGATTGGAGTTGCCAGTCTCAAAATAATTAATCCCGACGATGTAACAACAGATAGCGGAAACTCGCGTTCCTGAGCTGATGGCTCGATTTTCCCCGTTAGCTACAAGATATAACGTTACCGTGAAAAAGTTAAAAGTCAACAGAAATTATAGAATGATGCATTTTCCCGCAAAAAATCGCCGCTTCCTGTTCGTTAGCGCCGTTCTGTATGCACTATGCAATAAAATGCCAGTGCAAGCAAATCCGCTGCACAAAGGACCGGCAATTATTATTAAACAACGATGGTGATTAGGTAATCGTAGCGAGAGAGATCTGCTTTTATATACGATTAGAGTTCGCAGCTTCAAAATAATTAATTAACCCACACGGAAAATCGCCCGATATCGGAAACTGGCGTTCCTCATTTTCCCTTTAGTGACGGAAAAAGCGGCAAGATATTGCGTTACAGTAAATAAATTAAAAGTAGAAAGAAATATTTATTCCTTTTAGTTAGCGCTGCTCTATGTGCAATCAAATACCAGTGCATGGAAATTCGCTACACAATAACCCGAAATTATTACTAATCAGCGTCGGTGATTGATCGTAGGCGAGATATCAGCTTTTATACGGATTTTCGAAATAATTACTCCGCGTGGAAAATCAGCGGGTACAGGAAACCAGCTACTCCTGTACTTTCCACGTTATAGGCCCCATAAAAGAGCTCGAAGGTATTGCGTTGCATTGGAAAAATTAAACGAATTAAACATTGTGAAAAAAATAGCGCCGGCTTTGTTGTATACGTGCAACAAAAACCCCCGCTTAGGAAAACTCGCAACGCAAATGACCGGCAATTACTTACTTTAATCAGCTCGGGCGATTAATCATAGGAGAGAGATCAGCTTTTATACGATTAGAGTTCGGAGTTTCGTAATAATTAATCCACATGGAAAATCAGCAGATACCGGAAACTGGCGCTCCTGAGTTGATAACTCAATCTGCCTGTGCTATACGGGAAATGTTGAGGTTTGAACGCAGCCGGTAAATTAATTGAGGCGTTAGATGGCGGGAGGGGAGTGTTTATTGTCATTTGTCTCCTCTGTGGCGTGTATTAGTTAGAAGTGACACAACGGCGTTGTTTGATAACAATTGTAATGTTAATCCTTACAGGTTGGGCAGGTCGTGTAAGGGCGTGTTGGCACACGCTCAAATTAACAGATGCGCCTTTTTATTTTTGAATTAAATCCTGCGCTGCGCTTTGAGTACTGAATAAATTACGAATAAAATTACTATATGTATAGGCGAATTAAACTAAAGTGCAGAGTGCAAATAATGGGAAATAACAAAATGGAAACGCTAAATGAGGTAATCGCGCCAAATCGGCTTAATTCGTATTAGGAAAATGTTATTTCGGTATCATTCAAATCTAGTTCTGATGGAAAACCATTAAGCACTAGCAACGATGGTCTAATATCGAAAAATAAATATAAACGTTCAGTTTAAAATTTCGATCGTAAAATGTAAGTTTTACGCTGCGACGTCGGTATAGAAAGATAAAACTACCCGAACTACGAGAGAACCATTAACCTAGCCATAAAAGCGAAGAAACAGCATTCCTATATGCACAAACTCATTACTAATATTTTATAACACGCAAAAACAATTTTCAATGCAAACTATAACCGCTGTGGGATAATTTCGTGTTACTATTCGTCGGAGGGACGTTCATTTAAATTCGATAAACGCCGTAAACAGAAACAGATTAAGGAATAAGAAGTGTTTCCTTCGACTGTAGTTAGTTATCGACGTTGGCATTTTCCTCACGTATAGTCCTTTTCAAGATATAGTAGAAAATGACTTTATAAGCTGATGAGTTTACGACTACCCGGTGCTGTTTAGGGTACACGCCGTACTCGCCGGTCGAATCACGCAGAACCGTATTTTAAGTTTGGTACGTTCGCTGCGGCTAAGCGGCGATGCAAAACACTCATTAAATAACATTTCTTAAGTTCTTACCTGGAAATGTAAATACTGTTTACTACCCGACCCGACCGAAGTGCTTCAACGTTCCATTGTATTGGTATTAGGAAAGTCATTACTTTATTGCTATAATCCCTAAGCTCTCACGCCTCTTTTCTACTATATCTTGAAAAGGACTATACATCACCATTCATCAGAAGGTACAATACTCTACGTGAGATGCCGTACAACAAGCACACATTTTTAATAAAATTCTTATCTAGCAACATTCTCCAACACTGATACGGGCAAGGCTATAATGTGATTATTCAAGAATAGTAGGTACATGATAAAAATAAATGTTATGAAAAATGTATGCAGCAGGAAACCGCCGAGATGCAACGAGCAATGCCAGGTGTCTAGTTAGTAGAAGTTGCTATAGTTTCCAAAATGTTTTAGTAGATTACATAATAGATACCTATATTAATTTTAAACATAGAAAAATTGATTGATAATGTAATTGAAATTATGGTGGAACCGCTGCATCTCCGCCAAAAAGTATAGGTAAACTAAGAATACATAATAAATTTTTAATATGCATTATATCTTTCAAAAACAGCCGTAATTAAATTGCTTTTAGCATATATATTATTAGAAAATATTAATTTAAAGACAAAGTGGGATACTGCCTCTCAGCATTTGCATTTTATGAACAAAGTCAATGGTCGTTGATTCCAAAAGGTTGTGGAAACTAGGTACTACAATATTGAGTTTTTTTTACGAAATACAACGCTTTGTTTAACGTATATTATAATTTAATTTTCTCTTTTTAAGCGACTTGCATCTAGCGGTCCGAACTTACCATATTTTAATTTAAATCTATTATTATGACTAAACAAATATGCATATCATGTGAAATAGGAATGCTTTCGAAAAAAAAAATTGCATAACATTTTCAACATAATTAAGGTAGCAATTTCATTGATTACCTTTTTAATTTCATGCTACACGCGGCACGTTTATTTATTCGTTTCCAAATTAAATTTTCAAAAGGCAAATATAATTTTGTTATCAAATAATATTTAATTAATGCATTCAATGATACTATTTACTTATAATCGTAATCGTAAAAAATTAAAGACATGAGTAATTTTGATATAAAAAACTAATAAATTACTTATTTCGTTTATATGTATAAACAAAAATTGACTACACATTGTTGATTTATTATAATTAGCTTCTCCTTTATGTGATTACGGTACAAAAATAACTGTATTCCAAGCATAGGAGCAATAAATTTGAAGATCATGGTAAAAAAAGATGCTTTTTTTCCGCTGTGAAATGTTACCGAGGAGTCTGAAGGACGTTTCGTTTTTTAAAAATTCGGTATTATAATTTATTTCAAATTAATACTGGTCATGTGAGTTTATAATCAGATTTAAAATGACAGTGGTATAAAAATATTCCTCACAACAATTTGTACTAACAACCGCAGAATCTTATCAATTTAAATGTCACTTGCAAAAATAACGGTTCGCAAGCAATTAGAGCGACCCCGTGTCGAGAATCAATCAAAAATCCCGACAAATTAAAGAGGAAACACTCACCTATAATTGGCATCCAGCGGGACGCTCCCGATGGCGACGTTATCGTGCCCCAGCTTGTTATCCTTCACCCAATAATAGGTCATCGTGTCCCGCACGGACTGCAGCTGGAACCTGCACTCCAGCCTAACATCTTCGGTCTCCCTCGTATCCTTCCTGATCTCCTCAGCCACAACTCGCGACACTGAAACAATCACAACGATCACTAGGTGACAACGGGCAAAGCACGTCAACCGCATGTCGCAAACAATTCGCCGAATTCACCGACGAAACGCATCCATGAAAGTAACGAATAAATCCTTCCCCCGGGTTTACGGGGGGTGCGCGCTAAGTTCGTCCGGCCGTTACGCTGCGCCCTAACCGTCGCCGGCGGTTCGTTGGGATTCGACGCGCTCGGCTGCGCAACTCAACCTCGACTCAACTGGTTAGGCGCGAATCGGAAACGAATATCGAAGGCTTGGCATGCACGTTCACTACGCGACGGTCGAAGTTGTACTGGCTTGCCGATGGACTCCTACCAGCTCTTCGGGGAACCGGTTGTTGGTGTTCTTGCCTTCTAGGTCGGGCTGCTTCAGTGTCGGATTAAGGTTCTCGGCGACCCTAAAACGGTATTTTGCTATCTGTTTACCAGGCAAATTAGATAGCAGATAGATACGTGATCGAACAACAACAATGTTGTTTGAATAACGTTCAATGCTATAGAAAATTATCTAAAGGAAGATGTAACAATTTTGTAGAGATATTTATAGGAACTTGTAAATTGAAAGGAACTGGTACATAGTATAAAACAGGTGTCGGTAGATATAATGATTATACCAAGAGAATCTTTATATTCTTTCATAGAAACTCATTGGTCTTTAAAATTAGCAAAAAAATTCATCTTGTTAACTCTTTTTGCTCAGTATAGATTAAAATGGAAAGAAATATGTAATAGTAGGCAGCAATAACTCTTTTCTTGATATTTTTTAGACTTTTCTCATTTTGTCCAAACCGTTGGAACCATATAGAGGTTCTCTTGGTCTCTATATTCTACCAAGAAAAGAATCCCTTTGGCATTTAAAATGATCGCAGAAAAAAAATTGGTTCCTCTACAGATTAAAGTGGAAAAAAATATTAACAGAAAATAGACTTTTTAAGCCCCAGCAAGTGAAAATATCAACCACCAACAAATCTTTTGCCCAATTCCCTCGTTTTGTCCAAACCGAAAATCGTAATTGAGATTCACTTCATAACTTTCGAAACCTCCATTTCAGTTTTACTCTATAATTAAAAATCTACATGAAATTACCTACAAAGTATACATTTAAACTTTCACATTTCATTTTCGTGCTCGATTACGCGCGGCAGATTATAAGAGGAGAATTCGTCTCTGTGATGTGGACGACCAATCAATGCGTGGACTTGGTGAAAGTAACTCGAGACTTTTAATATCTCAGGTATACCTATTCTACCTACCTACCCACCTACCTACCTCTCTAGTTCCCGGCCCTTGCGCATAAAGGAAAAGGCACAAATAAAATTAGGGAATAAGAAATATGGTCCTAGAGGTGATTATTTTGACATTTAATTTAAAAGCTCGTTATCTGCGTGTTATTGATGCTTTTTAGTGCAAATTAGATCTTATAGATAGAAGAATTCAGGTAATAAATTTTTTTCTTCGAAATGCAGTTTGCTACATTTGAATGCAAAACTGATGGAAATTATAAGGCATGAATGGAAATTCCTTCGCGATATATAAATACCGCATCCTACGAATTGTCGCCGTTTTATTTCCGAGCTGCACTTGAACTAAAATACACTTGGAAGTTTCGAAGTTTATACCGAAAATAAACTGTTTGTCCCGAAGGCGCATTTGCATACTCGGGAACCATTAATCATAGTTAGATTGTCGAAATACGTGGCTTTCTTTCGTTCTGGCCTCGTTTTACGTCTTTCCGTTCGAGAATTCCCCAAGAAATTACTTAGAGACGTGGATTTATTGCTTATCGAATACGAAAAAATGCTACTTATTTTTTGTTCTGCGATTATTTGCTTTTATAGCGTTTATAAACTTTGCATGTACGAGAAAATGTCCTTTAGAAAAGTGTTTTATTAGTTTCTAAATTAACTAATTGCTTTAAGCATTACCGGTGCTTATAGCAGATATTAATCGGCCACACGAAGCAGAGTTAAATGAACCTCCAATTAGCGAAATAAAAGTCCTTAACGATTCAACAAGTAAAAGTTAAATTGCATTTGAAACGACGCTGTCACGATTTTAGAAAGTACTGGAACGCTTAAACGTTTTGTCTCCGGCGTTTTTTTTCCACCGACAATGCATCTAAACGATCGTGAACGTAATGTTCGATATTGCCAATAAAATCGTATTTTTTCCATCGATAAGGTCACGTGTCGGCAATAGAGCAGCCATGGCCTACCAGGCTGCGGTAAGCTAACCATTCGACCGCAAAATCAACTCGTGCTTCGGTTTTACACAATCGACTGCTCGACTTTCTTCATGCAGCTCGAATGTAAATGTATAGTCTGCAAGATTGAATATAACGTAGATTATGATATCTACGATAACTGTACTTAATTCGAATGGGCGAGGTATCGGAGATAAATCTCGTTTTCGTCATAAAAATTTTCCATCTATACCTAACTAAAAATTTCTATAGTAAATCTACAAAATCAATCGAGGGTTGGTGTAATTAAGATCTAGTTAAGCTTACAAAAGGCTTAAATAGCTACTGTAATAAGTTGAAAATAGGCACCGGGAATGGTCGGATTCGTTTCTAATAATATCCATTCAATTATTTATCTGTTGGTTTTATCTGCGAATGGTGGTCCGCTCGTTGTTTGAACACAATAATGACAAAAAGCCGTCAGATTAGTGACGGAGTATTTTGTAATCTTGTGAGACGAGTTTAGGTAATAAAGCCATAATAACGTCGACATCAGACACGATCATTTCTGATATCCTTTTTACTTTTGTCTATTGGGACGCTTAAAATCATCACAATAAACACTTCGAGTATAATAACCTATAATTTTATATTATGTACTGTTTTACAGTATTAATGATAGTGCTAGATTTTTCTGCAACACGTCTTTGTTACCATTAAATTCTTACACTTGCGAAAATGCATTCCCACGGAGTATTTTAGAGAAATAAATAAAATACCTAATAGATTTATCGATTTTTTGGTTACCTACCTGTCGAGAAAAGCATTACAATCGTTTCTCCAGGTAAATTGACACCCTTCGCATAGAAAAACCGACGTCAATAGGAAAAGAATGCGCCTCGTATATTTCTTGAGGTATACACTTTGCAACCCCTATGGAGAACCGTAAAGTCTAGGCACAAAAGATGCCAATATTTATTATTGAAAATTAAAGTATCCATTAGATAGACTCTAGATGCGCATAGAATCCGATAAGTACATAATAACTCTCAAATATGTATGTAGTATAACGTGGAAGACGTATCCAGAGGTAAAAGTTAAATCAAACTTGCAGCAAGCATTTGGAAATTTCGAGTATTATATCTACTTGTATAGAATAAACCTACCTTGAACAATAACACTAAGAATACGACGTTAAAATACATTCAAAGTATATTTCTTGCACTGTTTGAAATTACCTACTTCTTGAGATTTATTCGGGATTTCAGTAATAACGTGTGAAAAAAAAATTGACGAAACGTTTCGCCACAAACCGCACAGAAAGTCGTTTCCTTGTAATTGTTGTCAGGTGAATACTCGTATAAGCCATTATAGACGGCGTCGTGAATCTGCATTCAGAATACAACATAATACCGCTACGCCCGTGATTTATGCGTGTCTTCGGATCCGACAATCCAAAAACCTTATACTAGACGATTTTTGTACCTGCTGTAAAAAGCGCGGTTTCTAAGAAATTATTAAAAAATATATTTTCGTGCGGGTAGGTGCGTTTTTAATTCGAAATGTCTCGTTACAAACCGAATAACCTAATTAGCTATCCTGTATTACATGCTAATTAAGGAAAACACATTTAACTCGGAAATATCACTCTCTCCGCAGATGTTCGGGTAAAATTCATCCAATTAAAATTAAATTAGAACCATGTGAAAGAGAAACCGGCATTGTTGTTTCTAACTTCTTATTTACAAAAACGATAAATCTAGTTCGATTTCACAGCGTGTGTTTTCTTTGCATTATCTCTTCTATTTTTAGAACCCGCACACCTTCTTAGTTTTCATACCAACGAGCTTCAATAGAAGTTCATATTTTAATTCAATACCCTGCAAAACACATAAATTTGAAACCGTAATAATATAGTTCCAGTTTATAATAGAACTAAAATTGCATAAACCACGAATTTAATTAATTGGGTTTACTCATAATGTTGTAAACACTTCTGCTTTATTCAACGACACATTAGTTCAAATTTACCGAAACATTCTGCAATTTAATTGGCGCAGTCAGTACGGATAACAATTGCGATTTAATTATAAATTTCATCCAAAGAAAACTTATCGAAACACCTAGTAATAAAATAAGCTGGATTATTGTAAATCGTGCACGTTTAGCGTCTGGAGAACGCACAATACACGCCGGTCTCTAATCAAATTAATCCAATTTAGGGATTGTAACGCGTACACAATTAGGTCGGCCGGGGTCAATCATTTTACATTCGTCATAAAACTTCACATAATTGGATTTCAAATGATAATCTGTCATCAAAAGGCTTTACGACAATCACATGAAGCCAACATGTTCTTTTATTAACGTAATAAAACTGAAAATACTATCAACACCAATTATATCTGAAACAGCTTGAATATACGGAGTGTTAACGATTGACGTACAGATAATTTTAATTGAAATACTAACAAATTCACTAAATAAAAATACATGTAGATAATTATTTTCCGCCCTCCGAAGGCATTCCCGGCGGCTGGATTCGTAATTTGGGAACAAACTCGCGCGAGATTGAAGCTAACATATTATGTCGTGTAGGTACAGACCGAAACAATTTTTTTCACAAGAACACAGGAATACAAATGATAAATATCAAAACGCGCCGCGGCGAAAATACTTTTCGCTGGAAATTTTCTTATTCGAGCGACATATGTAGTACAAAAGGTTCACGTCGCGAGCTTTTTGTACCGAAATGGGAGTTTTTCCGTGATTTCGCGCCGTACAAAAAAGAAACGAAATGAAAGAGGAGCGTTTGCGATGCGTTTGAAAAATGTGGATGATGGAGATGCGGCTATTATGAGGTTGCTCTTGAACGTTACTTCTTATTTGGGTAATTGTGAATGTAGGCTATGACTAAATTCGTAAATGCAGCTGTTATTTCACTGCAACATTATGATTTACTAGTACTTATTGCAGGATTTTTAAAAGTATATTCAGTGTTTCTTCTACAAATTCATAATTCATACAATCAACCAAAATAATACGAATTCGTGTGACTCTGAGGAATAAAAATTTGAGATACAAAAAACGTAGGTATATCGATGAA